TTTTGTGTGTTTCCTCTAATTTGTGCACAAAGAATTCCCCATCATAATTGTACTCGAACATATGAACATACGTACATAGATTCAAAACGAGGGTGGATAGGCTTTGGACACGCTTGGAGTACATTATCAACCCATGTGCATAATATGACAATTGAAGTGCAATTCGCAACGACCGAACTATCGAACACAGATTTCATCGGATCGCTGAAACTTTTGCATTTTCATCGCCTAAATGTTCCCCCAATGACTTCACAATACTGGAATCTTATTTTTGAAGTCATTTATCCTATTCAAGATCCTCTGCCGGATATCACTAAAATAATTGTTGCCAATTACACAATATGCGAGGATTCTGGTCAGTTCAATTTTGATGTTACTTTAAAATCCATTTATTAATGAATTTTTGTTAATACTCTAGACAAAGTTCATACAGTAGAAAAACCAGATTTAGTTATATTGCATTTGCTGTACAACGATTACACGATGAGACAAAAGCTTACAACCAAATTAGTGAAGAAACCTCTTCCAACTTCAGTGCCATTAGTTGCACAGGAAGAAAATACTGGGTGAGTTTTATTTCATTAAATTGTCTCGGAATTTATTCCCATTTATCCAATCGCCTTTGTACATGAGCAAAAAGGGACAAAGATGATTACAAAGTCAGATGAGGATCACATCATGGTTGAACTCGTTTTGCGAGTTGACTAAAAATAATTACGTGTAGCCTTGCCAATGCATTTATTTTCTTTGCAAATTGATACATATTTAACATCTTGGAGATCAACATTTTTCCACATTACAGGCAAAAGTTAAATATTTTTATTTACATATACTTCATTAATTGCCAGGAATAAGGTTTAAGAAGAAAGAAAACAGTTCATGTTAAATGCAGACATTGTGTTTGGCCGTTATATTTTTAAGAAATTAGTATTTCATTCTCGTAATTAATCAATTAGTTACGTCTAACACATCTCACTGCTGATCGTAACACACTACTTTTGGACAACAATATGGATAGTCTAAATCACGTTTGAGTGGCACGATGACACAGCCAGGATTCGTTAAAGTTAAATCCGAACAATAATCCACGTTCAGAAGAATTCCGTCGTAGCAAAAGAAGTCTATACACTGATCTGGATGGGTCCATTCGTCTCCATGGCGAATAATGTGATCTTTAACTCGGCAGCTTTTCGATGAGTCATCAGAATCCGACGAATCGTGAAGAATTTCTAAGGACTTGGCATCCTTTTGATGTTGATCTTGGGCAAGGGCGACAATAGAATATACCACTAAAATCGAAGTAATCTTCAACATTTTAGAAGAATATTAGTAGAAATGATTAAATTACAACGCACTGTACAAGAAGAACTTCTCAAATAATGATGGCGGTGATTCTCAGTTGAGAGTAAAATATACACTGAAAAACTGAATACGATGAAGACAGATCTGCGAATTCACACAAAGAACAGAGCATAAAGTAGCAATGCGAAATATACATATAAAACTTGTTTATACAAACACTCTCGATAAAAACAAGTTTTATAAGTAAAAACGTTTTCAAAGAAAATAAAATTGAATTTGAGCTTCTTCATTGAATCTCAATGTCAAGTAAAGTTAGAGTTAAACTATCTAACAATATATTTCTCCAGGACAATACATGTATACATCAAAGTATATACAATTATACATCGCTACAACTTCACTATTATCATTCCCAGAAGTTCAATATAAAAACCAACTTGCCAAATTCTTTGAGTAAATCTGCAATATGAAAAACGAAAGATTCTTACAAAAAAACCATTTTTTGTTCGAAGTTGTTGGTTTTTCTCCTCATTACATGCCTCAAAGAAAATTCAAAACATACAAATTATATGCCAATGCTTAGATGAAATTGTATTCAAAGTGAAGCCAAGATTTCAAATCTGATTGGATGATTTCGTGGTGCGTCAGATAAACCTCTCCAAAATAATTTGCTCTCCATGTGAATAATCGGTTTGTGGCGCAGTCGTGTAATGGTGCTTGAGTGAGAAATTAACGAGTTATTGCACAGAGTTTAAATAGCTCAAATGAATATCTTTAATATTTATTTCGTGATTTTTTGTGTGTTTTCTCTAATTATTGCACAGAGAATTCCACATCCAAATTGTCCCAAAACTTTTCAGCATTTATATGCAGATTTGAAACACGGATGGGTGGGTTTCGGACGAGCTTGGAGTACATTATCAACCCATGTGCATAATATGACAATTGAAGTGCAATTCGCAACGACCGAACTGTCAAACGCCGATTTCATCGGGTCACTGAAACTTTTGCATTTTCATCGCCTAAATGTTCCCCCAATGACTTCACAATACTGGAATCTTATTTTTGAAGTCATTTATCCTATTCAAGATCCTCTGCCGGATATCACTAAAATAATTGTTGCCAATTACACAATATGCGAGGATTCTGGTCAGTTCAATTTTGATCTTATTTTTAATCCTTTAATTAATGAATTTTTGCTACTCTAGACAAAGTTCATACAGTAGAAAAACCAGATTTAGTTATATTGCATTTGCTGTACAACGATTACACGATGAGACAAAAGCTTACAACCAAATTAGTGAAGAAACCTCTTTCAAATCCAGTGTCATTAAGTCAGACAAGTGCACAGAAAGAAATTGCTGGGTGAGTTGCTTCTGTCTATTTGAAGTGTTTTGGAAAATATCCCATCGTCTTTCGCATGATATGAAATATATCATTTTGGTATATTAGTAAATAAGAACAATTGATCGTGATATTATTTTTTTTCTCAGAAGATTTAATTGTTTACTATGCGCGTGCATTCAGTGATAAGAATTACGTATGGAAGTCAAAAATTCTCTTATCAAGATGCATGCCGAATAAAAAATCACCAACGTACAATAACTAAATTTTTATTCGATAGTTACCCATAAATATTGTGTTTTCGGGAAGTTGAAAATAAATATATAGAACGTTCAACCACTAAATTATTGTCATCAATATATGGGGAACACTAATGACGTCTTCGTGAATAACGTCAGTCTGCTGCACACGAGGCATCGATTTATTTCTAAATTTCTGTATCTCATGAACAATTTGACGTCACCAAAACTAGATGACCTGTCCAAGACGTTATTTGATACCAAATTATCCCCACCAAAATGAAACAATTTTTCACTCAAACTTGAGCAGGTAAATTTGGCTTTGCGTGTGGTGGCACAAAGTGGAATGTGTGGAAACTAGTATAATTTGGTACGTTCGTTAGTTGAACTTCCCCAAGTAAATTATGAGTCCGTATCGCAGTCGTGTATTGGTGCTCGAGTGAGAAATTAACAAGTTATTTAGTCACCTAAAATGAAATATCTAATAATTTACTTAGCGATTTCGAGTGTATCTAAACTATTTTGTGCACAGAGAATTCTACATCCAAATTGTCCCGAGACTTTTCAGCATTTGTATGTAGATTCAAAACATGGATGGGTGGGTTTCGGACGAGCATGGAGTACATTAACCCATGTGCATAATATGACAATTGAAGTGCAATTCGCAACGACCGAACTATCGAACACAGATTTCATCGGATCGCTAAAACTTTTGCATTTTCATCGCCTAAATGTTCCCCCAATGACTTCACAATACTGGAATCTTATTTTTGAAGTCATTTATCCTATTCAAGATCCTCTGCCGGATATCACTAAAATAATTGTTGCCAATTACACAATATGCGAGGATTCTGGTCAGTTCAATTTTGATCTTACTTTAAAATCCATTTATTAATGAATTTTTGTTAATACTCTAGACAAAGTTCATACAGTAGAAAAACCAGATTTAGTTATATTGCATTTGCTGTACAACGATTACACGATGAGACAAAAGCTTACAACCAAATTGGTGAAGAAACCTCTTCCAACTTCAGTGCCATTAAGTCAGACAAGTGCACAGGAAGAAAATACTGGGTGAGTTTTATTTTATTCCATTCAAGTATTTGGGAAACTCATTCCTCTAATACACGAGCAAAATTCAAAGATAATTGAACGTAAGATTCACAAAATGTTCCTGTTGATCTCGTTTTTGCTAATTGTTGTCGATATTGTGTAAATAATCACAATTCTTCTGGCTATTGTAAACTTATTTATTGTACTTGATGTATTCTTACACCAGCATCATCAGTTTTTCCACGTTTATTTAAATATTCTTATTTACATATACTTCATTACTTGCAAGGAACGAGGTTTAGGAAAAAAGCAAACAGTTCGTGTTAAATGCAGACATTGTATTTGGCCGTTATATTTTATAAAATTGCATTTCATTTTTTTATTAATTCAGTTACTTGTATTATACATATCTCACTGCTGATCATAACACACTACTTTTGGACAACAATATGGATAGTCTAAATCACGTTTAATTGGCACGATGACACAGCCAGGATTCGTGAGAGCTAAATCGTCACAGTAAGCCACATCAAGGAGGAGTCCTTCGTAGCAAAAGAAGACTATACACTGGTCAGGATGGGTCCATTCGTCTCCATGGCGAATAACGTGATCCTTCACTCGGCAGTCCTCTGGAATGTCGTCTGATTCTGTCGAATTGAACAGGTCCCTTGGCACCGTCATGCCATTTACGTGATCGGTGTTTTGTAGCAGGATCACAGTTGCAAATAGTGTTATTAGTGAAACTATCCTCAACAATTCCATTGAAGTGATGAAGAAAAAATTCTGTCAAAAACAATTTAGGGAGGCTAAAATGACTGATGCTCGCCAGAGAGCGGAATGTTGACTGACTATGTGTATAGCGGTGAGAGCGTTTGAGGTAGTGTATTTGCTTGAAGGACGTCATGTGGAGGGGCAGCTTTGAGCCGAAGCAGGTTTCATACTTGCAAAAGATGATCTCTCTTGAAATGACTTGGGAAATACGCCAGCGATCGTGCCAGACTTCCACTTACATCACTTAAATGTGTGTTTTCCCCGTGGCACGTTAACCTCGAAACTGGTTGGGGAAGATTCTCTGGTCAGCTCTCGGGTCTCTCTGAGATTGAGACACTGAATCCACTCATATCTCTTCAGTCGTGTGTTAGTGCTCGAGCGTGCAGTTGGTATTCACAGTGATCTTAGCATGTCGTATTTCATGAATATAATTACTAGTCTTATAATTTCAAGTGTGTTATTATGCGTCAGTGCTCAGAGATTAGACCACCAAGCATGCCCTGATGGAGTCAAATATATTTACGTTAACCAAAAGCTCGGCTGGGTCGGTCTGGGTTGGGCTTGGACCACAGAAAATCACAAACTGCACAATATAACGATGCAAGTGGACTTCTCTACTGCAGAGCTGGCAGACACCACATTCTTAGGGTCGCTGAAGATTATCAGATTTCAATTGATTCGTAATTTAGAGACACAGAAGAAGTGGAATCTCATTTACGAAATCATTTTCCCCACCCAAGATCCATTGCCGGAAATCACTAAAGTGCTTCTCAATGGCGACACTTTGTGTTCTGATCCGGGTTAGTGATGTTCTTTTATCGATGCGCAGAAAGATTTTTTTTTCTACTCAGTTGCTCATTTTGTTACTCTTGTACACACTCAGATAAGGCTCACTCTGCTTCAAGACCAGATTTGATTGAATTGCACGTGTCATATAACGATTATTTGAAGGAACAAAGCTTTACGTCCAGGCTAATTAAGAAGCCTGAACCCACTAAAGCACCTGAAGGACCACCATCGGTGGTAGAAAATCAAGTAGCCAGGTGAGTTGACGGCTAACTCGTAATATCTTCATTGAAATGGCAGATAAAAAATTTACATAAACCATTTTCTTCGATCGCTACTACAGAGCGGAGAAAAATTCTACTGTTCTTACACGCTTAATTGATACACTCAATAAAAGCGAATTCATACACAAACACACATCTTACATAGATATCTCGTTTTTCCAGTTTCAGCGGTTTTGCTCGTTAGTTCGTTTAACAGCATGAGTTCTGTTTTTGCATCTATACGATGTAAACAATTTAGAAATTTGCTCATGGGATTTTTGGATAGGATTTTCGGTAATTCCCAGCGACTGTTATAAATACATATATATAATGTATAACATATTTACGATTAGATATATATACCTATGATCATACGCATATGATCTTTTACCTCATCTTGTGACAACAAGTTGCGTTTCACCTTGATATTTCTATTTACCTGATATACTTTTATTTCAGAGATTAGCTGAGAATTCTCAGTGGTTGGAGCAATGCTCACTCACTCTTCCCTATGAATTTTTAATATAATTGCTTATCTCGCGACTTCACAACTAATTGCACCATTTATTTTTTCTCTTTGTAGTAGCGAAAACCTGGGCTGCGGCAAAGTGGACTTGTCAAACATCTACGTACCTCTAGTGTTGGAAGGAACAACCATTCAGAGAGGAACCTGGCCATGGCTCGTCTCCGTGTACTCCTATTCCAAGCTCAGGCTGGGCTTCAGATGTGGAGCGACGTTGGTGTCACGGAAACTGGTAGTGACAGCAGCGCATTGCTTCTTCGATATCTACAAGCGACGAGTGAAGACCGAAGACGTGATAGTTATCCTGGGACAGTACAATCTTAAGCGTCCACACGACACTGGCTCCGAGATCGTGTATCCTGACAGCGTCAACATCCATCCGAACTACGGAAAGCGCAACAGCATAGACTCGGACATAGCCGTGGTGGTTCTGACGGAAGCCATCCGCTTCACCACCTACATCCGGCCAGCCTGTCTGTGGAATGAGACAGAATCGAAGGAGAGCATCGTGGGCCACAAAGGGTTCAGTGCGGGTTGGGGTCGGGATGAAAATGGAAACTTCTTCACGGAGTTGCCAAAGCAAATTGAGATTCCAGTGGTCAGTGATGAGGAATGCTTGCGATCCCACGAAGCTTTCCCGAAGATCACTTCAGAAGTGACGTTCTGTGCGGGCTGGAGGAACGGCTCAGAAGGTCCTTGCAACGGGGATTCGGGTGGGCCACTAATCTTCGACAGGGAAGGTCGATGGACATTGAGAGGGGTGGTTTCGACGTCCCTCTCCACCGATGGCAGCAACACATGTAATCTCAATGAATATGTTGTTTTCACAGATGTTGCGAAATTCAGGCAATGGATTATATCCTTCTCTGATGAAGATTATAAATTCTGAAGTGAGAAAATTGTTTAAATTTTTATACTAGAGTATTTTCAATAAAAAAAACAACAGACTCAGCTTATCTTCAGCTCTGATTTTATTTCTTTCTATGGAACTTAGCCAAATTGTCGTGGTTCTTTGTTGCTTCGAGATGATTTCATGCTTGACATTATAAAATCGAAGAAAGATTCTTGTTGATTTCTTGTGACGTCAGTTTTTGCGACTATATCACATAATTGGTAAGTATTATTATTCCGAATTCGATTTTTTAATTTATGTATTTTACTGATCGAAAGAAATCATGTGACAGTAATAAGTTGATAACAAGATTTTAATCAAATAACAAACACGTGTGAATATGAAATCATAGCTCATAAAATATCAGATCTGTGTTTTTTTTCTGATGGAACTTGAAATATCAAACACGCATCAATGCTAAATATGTATATGTAAATGGCCAGACTGGTTGAATTACGTATCATTTAGCCCTGGACCCTGGACTCAAAATATTAAGGACAACATAAGACGTCAATTGATATTTAATTCACAGCTAGAGATTTGTCTGATGACGCTTACTGAAAATATGACAAAAGGAACAACTAAAACTTTTGCATTTTGCCTTTAGCCGCCAAGTAGTAAATTGATGATTTTGTATACGTATTTTATATATGTACGTGCATACATATATACCCACGCATACGAATGCCGTGAATATGTTGAATTTGGCAATGATGCGAAATGCAGGCCTTGACGAAATTGTATATTCTGAAATGAGACAGTCTTTTAATTTGCTTTAATTGAATATTTTCAGGAAAACTTAAATCGTACTTTATACTCAGTCGAGTTTTCAGTATCAACTTCACTTTCGTATCTCTGACACGTGGTTGTACTGGCTAAGGACACTAAGCCAAAATCATCCTCCAAAGTATTTGAAAGTCTCTCCGCTCCTCCCTTTTTCTCTCGCGCTCTCTCTCTCTCTCTCTCGCTTGCAATGTCTCTCTATAACACAAGATGATGGCAATAAAATTGTAATTTCATGCTCGTTGTACATTAGAGTGATTTGTACATTGCAAGGAATCACCGGGGTGAGTCACGCTAGGCACATTTGAATTGAAATTGGTGGCAGAAGACAAGGAGGTTCGTAGTAAAAAAAATGTGCTTAATTCGTTGTCTGATTCTTACAGGATCGATATTCCACCCGCACAAACACGCGCGCGCCAATCTTGCCTCCACCATCGTGAACAATTTATACAGGCAGTCCAATAATTCGGTGAGGAAAGGCAGGATACTCCGTCGTGTTCTTCTAGATTTAAAAAATAAGTGGCCAAAAGAATTTCAAATAATCATTGTTCTATGGTTCTGTGGTGCCGCTGAAACTACTGAGAAAAGAGCAAAAGCCTCTAAAATGTGAGAGAAGCGTGGACAATTTGTTGAATTAATCAATATCCTGAGTTTATTGGTAAATTTCCTGAATTGGGGAAATTGAGTTGGAAATTTGCGGTGAATTTCTGCGTTTTGCGTGAGCTCAGAGGTTTTCTAGGTATCACACGAGCTTCTATATTGTTGAAAAGTGAGTGACTTAAAAACGTGCTTGGGATTTTTGCACTTAGGAAAGCCCCAGTGCCGACAAACCAGCTGAAAAAGTTCTGAAGAAACCGTTCCAAAGGCGAGCAGAACCGCGCGTGTGTGGGCTTGAGAGTGTGTTCCGCGTGTTGTCGACAAGACAATAAGACACATTACTCCTTGAGGAGGGTGCTCTTTTATCGACTACTCTAGAGGAGTTGGAAAACTCCCGTAGTGGGACCACTTTAATAGTTTGCTGTTTCCATGTGCATCGATAGTGAAGAAAGTATGACGAAAGAGCGCGTAGCAGTTTTGTGAGGCAGTTTCTTTCATATTTTGAGTGTCTTTTTGATTTCTCTCTGTGCAATTTCTACCTAGATTCTCTCTATTGTTCCCGGAAAATAGTTTTTGACGATGAAAAGGTGTGCAAAAGGAGTGGTTATTGAAAATTCTCACAGGCCTAATGAGAATTTCCCACCGAAAATGGCGCGCGAGCCATGATAAGAAAGTTGTGAGTGCAAAACTCACCAGGCGCCTCCATTGTACATGTCTGAAGAGCTGTTTTAGGCGTAGTTTAGTAAATATTTCTAGAGAATTGATATAAAAAATTTTGAGGAAGGAGATATTTATGGTGTATGAGAATTGCTTAACAAGAATTTATGCGAAAGCGTGCCCACATTGTCATGATGATGGCGTAAAAGAGCGCCAAGGAAGGACATAGATTCACTGCCAAACATAATTGTGAGCTGCGTGGGAGACTGAAGGAATGCAGGAGCAACCGGAGTGTACGAGCAAGAAGCAAAAGCGATTGGGACCAGCTCCCATCGCTTCGGTGGAGGATATTGGGTCGTCGGATGAGGTGAGGCAAAAAGTACGTATCTCTTCTATCTCTTCTCTTCTGCCTCTTTCCACACACTGACAGTTAATGATGATGGCGCAACAGTAAGATTTCCTTCCTCTCTATGTACCACACCGGACACTTAATTCTCCTTCATATCTTGCCGTGTTTGCCTCCTGTGTGTGCTCATGTTGCTAGTGTAAAATTGGAGGATTCATCGATCCGGAGACCACCTCACCCTCCTCATGGCCATTCATTCACCTCACCCACCCACCCACTCAGTTCAGTGTCACAGAGCCTATAAATGCCTTCTTGCGCCCTCCGTCTGTCTTGGTGGAAATTGAAAATTTTCGCCACTCATGCCTCAATCCCTTTCCGAGCTCTCTCGCACTCTCAGAGAGGAGCAATGCGAGTATGCAACGCCAAGTTCCGGCACGGCTAGCATATCCCAGGTTACCGATGGATTTTATACCGAACGGCACAAGCCGGAGTGACTCATAAAGTAAATGTCCTGATTATTATTCTTTTAAAGGATGTATAAATTTTTATGAGTAAAGTATTAATAAATATGGAGTAAAATTCACAATCGAGACTCCATAAAAATGTACTTTGGTCCTCACTCTTCTCCCACAAAGGACGAAAATATCATCGTTTTTGCTTATTCAAAGGAGGAGTGAAAAGAAAGTTTTGCATTACATTCTTGTGCTCTAAGAATTTCATTATGGAGAGGAAATAGCATTCAAGATAGCATCTGAAATTTTCTACTATACAAACATAATATAAAATACACTGTATACGTTTCACTCTGTATGAGCATAATGACATCTATCTGTAGCAGGAATTGGACTAAAATTCAATGTTATAAAATAATGATATTTATATTACATCAATTTGAGTATATTTTAATTTAAAAAATCATCAACACAACAAAAAACCATTGCATAATAGTGAGAAAAAAATGGTTTGATGAATAAAGCGAAGTTTGAGTGTCAATCAATACTTCACCAGAAATATCTGACATTTTAATTAATTCATTTTCAATCTGTATACATAATGCAAATATTAAGTGATTAAATGCTTTTGACAATATTGAAAATTAAAAACTTCAAATACTTTTAGATGAAACGTAAAAAGTCAATTTTGCTGACAATCATTTCAATCAAAAGTCCAATCAATTAGACCGAGATTTTGGTTCAATTATAGAAATCAATTCCATTGATTAGATGTCACGTATCCTGTAGCAGCATGTCAAGGACTTGACTCATTACACATTATCATTGTTGATGTTTCTCACTCCTTTCCTGTTGGATACGTAGTGGATTTTACCGAATCCTTAGGATCCACCACCTCTCGCTTAGCAGTAACACAGCAAACTACGCCCCTGACTGAGGAGGGGAAGCTTTTGCAACATGCCCTCTCTCTCTGCGCACTGCATGGGGCGATTTCCGGAGATGGTGTGAGCTTCGAAGGGAAATTTCAATGCACACCACTTTCCTCTCTCGCCTATTTTTCTCTCTGAGACGGACTAGCTTTGGAGTTGATTCCTCCCTTTTTCAGCACTACCACTTAGTGAGTGTGTGGACTTGCGACGGGCACGAAATGGAGAGACTTTTCCAATTCCTTGTGCATTTGCTTAATTCACAGACTTTTCTTCCTTGCACTGTGCTCTTGTGATAGTTCTTTTCATCGCCACGCGAGCCTCCATTGCCTATGTGAGGCCTTATCCACTGTATATCTCTTCACCAGTGCTTCGAAGGGGTTGCAAAAGTGACCCTCGCAATTTGCAGCACTTTTATCACTTCTGTCGCTTCTCTGTGTGTGAAAAGGTGTGTATTGGCGTGGTGATGGAAAAAATCAGAGAATCGAATGGAATTATTCATGGCGAGAGGAGTGCTTAAAATCGCACGTACGGGCCATTTGGGTAATTTATGACTGCTCGTGCGGGGTCATTGACTCAGTCAGCTTTTGAGTGAACTTGCGAGACGGAAATTTGCAAGGGAGATTTCCCAAGAATTCACAAATTTCCTCTGTCGTCACTCGCTCTCTTTAACTTCTCGACGCACACCTCCACACCTCCGACCACGTCGATTTTCTGCTGGGGTTGAGTGAAGTAAGTCAGAAGGAAGCTCATGACGAGTCGAAACGCACTTGAAACGCCGTTGAAACACACGAGGCTACACAGTGAGACTGAAGGATAACCATTTCATGGCAGTATTAAGAGAGCTGCGTGCAATAATCCTGTCATGAGATCATTACTTTCTGACTCTTTAACCTGTCTCTAAAGAGGATTTCTGGGCACATTTGCGGTCAGCTTATGACATCTCTCTTTCTCTGATCCTGTGTCGACACTTAGATGGAGAGTAGTGGTTCGGGGGAAGGACGTTTGCCCGAAATACGAGAACACCCAGCGACGTCGAGTGGAATGCCAGGAGTTGGTAGTGCGACTACATCGAGGGGTGGACCTAATTTAGGAGTTGGCATGTCGCATCCCACTCCAAGAATAGACATCAGTCGAGCCTCGAGTTCTTCCCATCAGGACAGTCGCGATAGCAGCCCGGAAAATGTCTTTGAACAGGTAAAAATCGCGTCTAGAGGGCTTTTAACTCATGCAGAGATGGTAAGAGAAGACGATGAAATACCATCGTATTTTCTTCATCTTGTTCTCTCTTTCTCTCTCTCTCTCTCAAATTTCACTTCTATCTTCACCAATCTGGCTCAAAAGCATGTTTTAAGTCAATTTTTCACACTCCTTGACAAATGACAATATAAACTCATAAACGTATACATAAATGGAGTGACGAGATTTTGAAATTCTAATGAATGACACAAAAACCCAGATCGGCACGGGAACACTGCAAGAGAGCGCTCCTTTTGGGTTGGGCTTCGGTGAGGATGGAGCCTTGGAATTGCGAAGCTCCACGGAGGAGCTGTACTTCATGGAGCCGGAAAAGGGCATGACTGAACGTGAAAAACCATCACAACAGGTTACTCTCTCTCTCTCTCTCTCTCACTTATCATCGCCTTCATTCATTTCACTTTGAGTTGCCTTCTTCCATAATAATTATCCACACCTATCTGTTTCCCATCTGTCTCTTGACTCTACACTTGATCTGCACCACTGAAAGTCCCCTATTATTTACGACTTCTCTGTGCTTTCGCTGTGCTTTACTCTTCAGTTTCTTTCAATTTCTCTTTCATCCTCCTTCGACATAGCCGTCATATTTGCTGATTAGGCATAATTATCAGAATTTTGCTCTTTGTTCTGTTCAGTTGCTTCATTTCATTCGGTTCTGCTATTCTGCACTGCTAAATTCATACTCTTCTCAACTCATTGAGCCAACTTTTCCGGAAGTCCCATTTATGTTTCAACCGTGCAATGTCCTAAGGTAAAAAAGACCAACACTCGACACATCGCAGGATCACAATTTGCTGGGGCTATCACATTTCCCACCTGTGAGCACAGTTGGTAGCAGAGTAAATATATTGAGTGCTTTTCACTGCAACACTGTGTGGGTATTTGCGCAAAAATTGCATCACTCTGCAGCCTTGCAATGTTCAAGATAATTAGTTTACGGCAGGTCTGAAAAATACTGAGAGAGGCTGATATTTTGAGACAAACAGGACGAAACTAAAATCAATACTGGTTGAATTGTGCGACACAAACACATCCTTGAATTTATTACTTGTTCCTTAACTTCTACTCTCAAAATATCAGCCGCGCCTCGTGCTGAGACATCAATTAAACTCAAATTAGTGCTGCGTTCAATCCTCATGTATCGCTCTAGTGAGAAGTGGTGAAAACTTTCGACGTGGAAGACGTAATTAATTCACCAATTTGGCATTCCATAGATTTCTTTCACCCTCAAGTTCATTAACTTTTTCCCGGTATACATTTCCACATTTATTTCCCACGACAGTTGTCGGGTGAAGCATCAATTGCGTTAATCATTCATGAAGAATCAGTGTGGCAGCAAAAACTCCAACATCTGTAGGTGAAGACAAAAAACACTCTCCAGGGAAAATATTTTCCACCTTATAGCATGAGAGACAGGTCTTATGTTTCCTTTTCCACGAAAGATATTCCATTCATCCCAATATAGGCACAGAATTTTATGTTTGTTTGCCTATTTAGCGAAAAATTTGTAGGATTTTCTCACACTCCCCACAATTTGTTATGTAATTTGCTTACATCGAATATTTTTCCACCCGCCGAGCTTTTAACGGTCACACACAGATGGTGTCAAGTGGAAATTATAATTCCAAATTAATTCACATTCAATGCAGAAGAAGAAACTTTTTACCATCACGCAAAGCTCTTCCAAGAGACTTGAGAGAAAATTTCATTTCAAATTGCAAATCTGATCCATTTGCGATGGCGGAGAAGTTCTTTTGGAGGTGAAGAAAGGCATAAATATTAAAGGAAGAGTGACAAAAAATATCCTCTTCTCTCAGTCTCATTCACTTTTCACATTTCACTATGCTGTGTAGTGTTTATTTCCAACATTTTACCAACATTCCGTACTGTACAACTCATGGGCGACCACATACACATGAAAACACTCGCCAGAGGACAGATATGGAAATAAATGTGTGTAGAAAAAATCGAATTGGAGCAATGAACTTCATTATTATCGCATTCAGTTGAATGACATAGAAAATCCAGAAATTGCCTCGTTTTTCCATCCCCATTTTCTGTTGCCTTTTTTGTCTCTGCCACATTTTCCACTTCTATGTATAAAAACTGCCACCCACACCTCACATGTAGAATGTGGTTGTGTTCCAAGTAGATAATGACCGAGAATTACATTATGCTACCCAGAAGAAGAGACATTGGTAGAGAGCGTCAAAATCTGCAGAGATTAAGTTTTTATGCATGACAGAAACCAACCCCAAAGACCAGTCCTTTCTCACCAATTTGCAGGGGATTTTCCATGGAAATCCATACCATTACGTCATGGAGAAAGCAGTTTAGGTGCATTTTTTTTAGTTATTTTTTGCCTCATAGGTTTTGTATTAAAACAAAACATCAGAACGAGATTTAAAGCGTTTCCATTTTGATGATTGTTTCACGAAAACTCTTATGAAATAGCCACGAGTGCTGTTTTTATAGATTTCTGCTATTCACTTATCTGTTTAACGTGTGATCGTTCTCTTTTCACCTGTATAGTTTTGTAGATGAGCTTTACTTCAACAGAGAGCTTTAGAAGTTCAAAGAATGCACGAGAGTTTTGTTGTTCATGAATGAAATTTGAATGCCGCTCATGATTCACTTATTGCAGGGCGCCAGCCAGTCCCCGATCATGTTCAAGTTTGATGAGCAGCAGCAGGCGTGCTTGCAGCAGAATCAGCGCAAGGATTCTGCCAGCTCCGAAGTGGCTGCCTTGCTATGCATTTCTGGACGCACGAGTCGAATCTCGAGTGTGGGCAGTCAGGGATCAGCCGCGAGTCGGCTATCAGCTGTCTCGGGGGTGTCTCGGTCACCCTCACCCCATCGAATGCTCTTGGAGACCTCTTTCTGCGGTCCTAAACCCCTAGATGGGGCGCTCGAGGGTGGGATCGTGATGAGCACTGAGCCACCAACAGTGGAAACTTTGGAGCACATCATTCTAGCACGGAAGCAAGATCCTACGCAGGCAGTTCTCGCGGAGGGCATCAAGATCGACCTATCCACGCCAAAGAAATCCAATGGAACAATCATTGAGTCCACAGCGAAGCGAAAAGAGCCCTTTAGGACAACTCCAGGAGCCGGAGGAAGTGTCATTAGGGGCGCACTGGCGAAGAAAACTGCAGCTGCGTTTGGGAGACGTGAGCCACCCAAGGCGATCCTTGGCGTCACGAAGAGTGGCACTGAGTATATAAGAATCAAACTCAAGCCAGACCATTTGTACCAGGACAATGGACTGGCAGAGAACGAGACTGTGATTGATGCTCCACTCTCGGAGGTGCTCAAGAAACCCCTATCACTGAGCCTCAAGCCACAGGAGACGAAGCGCACTGATGAGATCTCGCGTCATCCTGAACAGAAAGCTTTGGCCTCACCAAAGCCCGCAAGACACACTGCCCTCGCGAGAGATTCTGGAAGTCGCTCACCTTCGCCGGCTACCGTGACAATCTCACGCAAGAGTTCCTTCTGCTCGCTGTTTAAGACCAAAGAAGCCGCAGGAAGCCCAGAGTCTCCGACGATTTTCCACCGGAAAAAGAGCAAAGAGCCCGACGATGTGACAACACCAAGTCGCTCTCGCAGCAAAAGTGGCGACCGAGGAACCCCAGTGCAGGCCTCAGTGACGCCCAGCAAGCAGAAATCCGTGCTGGCCATCTTCAAGCCACGACGCAGTGGCTCCAAGTCCAAATCCACCTCACCCGTCGAACCAGACCCCATGTCGGGTATCGAAATGACCAATGTGGAGTTTCAGTTTGATGCCACCGGACAGCCGCCACGACCAAAGAGCAAACTTCGGTACTACGACACACCACTCGACGGCACTACTATTCACATTCCTCTCCACACGCCCCCGGACGAGAAGGACGATTTCCGAGCACTACCATCGCAGCCTCCGCTTATCACATCTGCTCCTAAGCCCAATTATGAATCCATCCATCCAGCTCCACTGCCAGAGAAACCAAAGGACGCGCCGAAGTCTCACCGAATCGAATATCCAGACGGCAGTATTCGTATACCACTGCACTCGCCCACAGAAGAGAAGGAGCGAGAGAGTCTCTGGAGTGTCGAAGCTCAGCGTCACAGCAGTCAGGAAAGCCAGGAAACAGTGATTTCCACGCAAGTAGCACTCGAGAGACCGAGGAAGGCATCCAAGCCGTCACTGACGGACACTGAACCTCTTCCTGTTGTGGAAAATGGTTTGGTGATTGGCGCGGAAATACCTTCTGCGCCATCCGCTCCGCCCCCAACTCCCGCTTCTGCGACGGTGGGTGTCAGAGAGAAGAAGCATATTGTGTTCACGACGAAGATCGGCAGTGGCAGTGAGGAGCAACTTTTCTGCACGCAGTTCAGTCTCTCGAAGACTGAGAGCCTATCGAGCCAACTGTCTGAGCAGGCTTCTCAAATGGAGAGTCCCAAGGAAGCCCAGAAATCGGATAGCATGAGGCGCGAGGAGACTCCTCCGAAGCTAATAATGAGACGGCAGAAGGACTCTTCTGGGGAGAGTGGAAGAAAATCCAAGAGCAGCAGTCAATCAACAGAGTCCATCAAAGAAGAACCCGTGGCCACGCAGTGTTCAGTAACGTCAGTAACAGTCCAGATGCCACAACAATCAAAGTTGCGTGAGGAGGCCATTAACACCCACAGACATTCGCGGTATATTGAGAATATTGATCAAATCATGGAAGAGCAGAGGAAAATCCACATGGCTATGCAGCAGAGCAAGAGACTCGATCCACAACCTGAAGAGGAAGTCACAAAACCTCAAGAGACCTCAAAACCATCTTCCACTGAGGAACCCCTGAAAGATGAGAGTGTGAAGCTAGAGAGTAAGGTGGAAGAAAGTGTTCAGAAGAAAGCGAGTCCTAGATTGGAATCCCTTCGAGGTTCCTCTGAGAGTGATCGAGAAGACGGCACAGATGCCACGGAGATTCGTGGAAAGCATCATCTCACGCGGAGTATTGCTGAGGACCACGAGAGCGCAGGACTCGTGTCCCAGGAGTCATACGACGACGAACTGCCCTATGTGCCCACCACACTGCCCGAGGAGCGCTCCATGGGTGTGACCATTATTCCTGTGAAAGAGCGCGCTCACATGGAGCTACGCATGTGCCCTGTCGAGCGGCCTCGCTCCACCACCCCAATCAATCCGAGTTGCCTCGAGGAATACTGCGGCACCCCCGGAGCCGAAACCCCCGAGCCACCCACCCCGAAGCTCCGAATATCCTTGCCACGCCGCGATTCCCGCGGAGAGATCAAGGGGTGCAAGTCCAAGTCGCCACGCCGCATCTCTACCCCGTCCGGAAAAAGCTGGTTCGAATTCGCTGAGCAGGGCATCAAGGGCGTTGTTGGTGAGGGCTCCAGAAGGAGCTCAGGGCAGCCAGATGATGACACACCTCCGCCCCCATTGCCGCCGCGCAAGGGTCAGGCACCAACGCAATGGATTAACTTTGAGAACATCCCGGAGAAGAGAAAACCACCCAAGAGGATAACCACCCTGCCCGGTGCCAAAGATTCAAGGAGTGGAACTCCACCGCAGCCTGTGCAGTACAACTACGTGAATCCCGAGGAGTGTCAGTGTGAGTGTCACGAGTCAGAACGAGATGGAGGATCCGTATCTAGGCCAGCGGATTCAGAAGAGGACGAGCAAGCATTGCCCGAGGACGCGCAACCGCTCCTGGACGAAGGCGAACCGGCCGATGCGGAAGGAATTAGGTGAGTGAAGCGTTATGAACTCTATCCAATAAAAAATAATGTGCGACACTGGCGTGAAATGATAAAATTAAGAGATGAATCATCGTGATATTCCGCATCCTCGCCTCCGGTTCCAACAATCAATAGAATAAATTGAATCAAATGCATCATTCCGGTCATATCTGCATACCAATGGCAAATATGCAAATACAAATTGTCAGCATCAACTCCAATCAGTGAGAAAGCACCGGCAAAATTTATAGATAAAGCAAAATGTGAAATAGTGGACATATTCAACACAGATATGCATCAAATTAATGAAAATTTAAGATTAATCTCTTGAGAAGAGAATATCTGTGTTTAATACATATGAAACACAGAGAAATTTCAGTTAAATAGTTTTAAAATATGCACAGTTTTTACTACAATAAAAATTATAGCGTTTCATCTCATAATTTCTAGCGATTCCACGATGGATCGTCTTTTGTCCGGTAGCCGCTCTTCTGGATCCGGCAGGCCTTTCACTCGAAAGTAGGATCAAGAGTAAACATGGTGAGTGTCAATAATGAAAAATAGCACTTTTTCCACTCATGAAACCCTATCTCATTTCAACAGGGAATTGATAACATTTACTGTGTAAAGAGAAGCTAATTTTTGTGGATACATCACCATTTGAGAACTTCTTCAGTGCTTTTTGGAAGCTTTTACTATCAAACTTCATCTGTGAATGTGCATTCTTTTCCGTGCGATAAACGCCATATTTCTACATGGACATTTAATTTGTGAGATATTTGAAGGAGATAAAGAGTAAATATCTGTGATCCGTGACAGAATAATCCTGAGTCCATCCTGAGAAATCCCTTAGAAAAAGAAGAAATTCACACAAAACACACATTGTACACAAAGTCTCGTCATCTGCTTCAAAAATACTCATCTTCACATTTATTTCACGTCCTTTTCTTCTCTTCTGAATAGCAATACAAAAAGAAAATCTTTAATGTAAATTGAACTAAATAATTAAAAATTAATATTCATGTTGTAGGGTAAATTAAGGAAAAAAAATCTGAATATTAACACTTATTAAAAGGATATCATGCGGAAATTCCTTTTTTAGATAAATTTTTATTAAAAGTATAATGGGAAATTTTTAAGTTTATCGGACACAATCATAATAAAAACTCCTAAAAGTAATTGTGTATAAAGAAATTTATCTGACAAAGTTAGGAAAATTTTACAAAATTCACTCTCTTTCGATATCTTATCTTTATCTCTGAATGTGCAGCATTGGCGCAAGAAGAAAGTAAAATCACATCAATAAAAAGGATTAACTAAGAGATAAGAAAGAAATTATCATGAAAAATGTGCAATAATTCTACTCTCTGAAGTATTAAATGACGATTTGTATTATTAAGGGATGTCATTGAATCTTTGAAACAACAATTTTAAAAAAGTATATATTGAAAACGACGTTATTTATATGATGAAAAAATCTTATGATTGGGGGAAAATTTTTTAGATAATGACAAATCAATTAGGAAATTATGCTATTTTAACCCTCTGTTGTTTCTCATCGTTCGACGAGAAGAAAAGCATGAGACGCCCAGTACTTAAAATTATCTGCTGAATCGCTTATCATTTTAATTAATTCACAAATAAACAAGTATTATACTAAGCATTTGATGAAAACAGCATCGTGCAATAAATGTTCATCGCGACGTTTCTCCTCGATGAGAAAAAAAGACCCACACTGGAATCTCTGAAATGATTCATTCTGTAGGAATTCACCATTCGTTTATCATGAAACGGGGGAGGCAGAAAGCACAATAGTTCGGATTGTCTGTGCTCTTTTTGTCTGGTTGCAAATCCAATTGACTTACTAGGGCGAAAAATTGCTGAAAAGGACCATTTCTCCGAGTGGTTTTTCTGCTGTCCACCCTCTTCATAAAAAAGTAAATCACCAACACGAATTTATCATGAAAATCGAGAAGGAGGAATGAAAAATTATCAACATGAAAATGGAGAATCCTCACAAGAAAATTAGAAAAAAACATTATAAGTCCACTTTAATTGTACCACATTCCTCAAAGTGTTCTTCGAACGAACCCTCTTGTTATTTATAGAACGTAAAAAAGGATTAACCAAAAGATATTAAAAGCGATTGTAACTATTTTAAATCCTATTGAAGTAATTAATTTATTAAAAAAAATGATGGAAATTGAAGGCATATAGAAACAAAAAAGATAAAAATATATTTATGAACATTTTGTGATTGTTAAAGTATTTAAAACAAAACTTATTTCATTATCTCAATATTGACTCATTACTATAAAAAAAAAATTAATACAAATATTATGGAAAACTCATATACTCATTATAGGAAAGATCATAAAACGTGTGGCTAATCGCAAAAGCATGTAAGAAAAGGACATTTATCAGGAGAATCAATAAAACATGAAGGATCGCAATACGATAATCAATTTTATTTCAATCAGTTGTCTGTTAATTGGCTTACAAAGTACCTCAAGATCCTTATCGTGGATTCTCTGTCACCAAATAAATTGGCTTCTTTCGTGTCAAACACTCGCCATTCATCATCGGCAACGTCATCGATTTCCTGGTCAGCTTCAGCCTCCTCCAGCTGAACAAGCCTCCCGAGAATCTCCCTGAGGTTCTCTTTGGCGATAACAAATTGAATCAACGTCCTCAGGAAAGTATGCAAGGCAAAGGAGTCGCATGGAATCAACACTTCATCGGTAAAGTTTATAAAGTCACTCGATATTGTTGACTCGAGTTTCATACTGAACAGCTGAATAGCATGGCAAACAATTCTCCTCACATCAGCATCATCGTCCCTGAGGAGTTTTAAGATGACTCTCGTGAGTGAGAGAATAAATTGAGGAACGCACCGGCTATCAGTGCTGCACATCTTCAGCAATTCCGCCACAAGAAGTGCAATATTCACTCTAGTAAAGTCATTCCTATCACTGCCACAGAATTCCAGTAGAACTTCAACCCTGAGTTGGAATATGTCGTCAATAGTTGATAAGTTTGCAAGTAGATTTCGAATAATGCTGACCTTCTCACAATCGGAAATAGATTCATTCGAGAGATTGCTATTCACATCGCTTGCAATCATCTGTCTCTTCCCAACCAGTGGTAAGCACAGAAATGCTCTGGAACTCACAAGAGGATTTTCACTCTGTGCACAGCGCTTGAAATTATCCTTGTCCGACGAAGTAATCCTCATAATAATCAACTTTTTCTGCTCTTCGCTCAACGATGAGACAAACTCACTCTCAGAATCCAAAATTTCACTGCGGATTTCTTCTGGAATGTTCTGTTTCTGCTCTCCATTTAGCATCAGGATAATGTTCAAGGCAGTTATGAGCATGAGATTGATGTCTACTAGACACTCTTGATTCAGGCACTCAATCAGGACATCTCCCACCGTTTCACAATCCGCAGCCATAGTTAGCTTCAAGAGAAGATAAGTGCTCTGCAATGCCGTTCTTCCTATGATGGGACCTCTACTCAACATGATAGTTTTCACACGGGTTAAGAAATCTCTCAAGTAATCCACCGAAGAATCATTGATGATGTTTTTGAGCTTCTCATTGTCAGCCTTTGGCAGGTATTTCAATAAGATTTCCATAAACACCTTGCAAGTGATCAGACAATCATCTGAGTGAAGCTTGTGAAATTCAATTAAACTGTCCAAGTTTTTATGGATAAATGGTACATCTTTCTTCGCATATCTCCGGAATATCTCTTTCACTTGTAACAGTCTTGAGTGGAGCTCATTGGAATTTTCTGAAATCTCCATTCTCAGAAGGCCATTAAAGCAATCTGCGTACTTTGTTGGGTCAGTGATGACAATCAGAGACTTCACCGCTAGAATTCTGATCCTCAAGTCATGACATTTTGCGGGTATCTTCTTTATCTCTTCAATAAACTTTGACGAGTCCCTATGAACTGCCCAGTGTCCGTTCAGTACAGGAATACGCTCCAATATAAGAAAGATTGGGTATAATTGGGGTGCATTTTCCAATTTCACGAGTTTCTTATTAGCCTCCCTCAGTTCGTCATACAGGAAGTCGTAAAGCGGTGGATAGCTTTCGAAGAACTCACTGAAAATCCATGTATTCTCAAAGGCCAACTCTTCAGTGGCTCCTTTCGAACGACACACGCCAAAAATGCGAACAATCAGAGCAGAGAAGAGAAGAGTGGCTGAATTCCTCTCCGCCCAAGATTCAGATCCAAAACTCTCAATAGCTATTATTAGTCCATCTCCCGCATAGTTGAATGTCTTGAGAGTTGAACACCTAAATATATATCGCAGTATATTCATACAATGAATCCTGCCTTCAGTGTTTTTCTGCGACTCCTTCAGGAGCCTTTTAATGGTGACAGTCAAGAGTAATGGATCGTATGACGTGAGAATAGCTTGAATCAGAAACGGAAGTCCAGCACTGCGACGTGTCACACATAGCTTCACATATCTTGCAGAAGATTGCCTTTTCTCTGGACAGAGCACAGCATCCAGAAATTCGTGCAGCCATTCTTTTGGTAGTTTGTTAACTTCAGAGTTCTGACTCAAATGCAGTCGCGTGCAGAGTTTTGCAAATCCCACTGCAGACACTTCAAAAGCTCCTCTGTGCTTCGATTCCAAGAGAATCTCTATTAGATTTTCTCCAATTTTGACGATCTCATGGGTTGATATGAGATTGGCATTCTGTGGAGTGTTTTCACAAATCTCACCGAGAAGGAGAGACACTTCCTTGATTGTCCTCCATCCACAGAGAAGAACCATTTGTGGTGTCACTTGATCATCCAGAGCTCGGAAAATTGTCTCATCTTCCGGAACAAAGCCTTCAGGAGATGAATTATTCACTATAGGCGCCACTATCTGTGATGCTTCACTGCACAGAACGAGAATCCGTTCGTAGAAACTTCGCCATCTGGGCGTTTCCTGGATGCGATACTGAGACACCTTCTTCTGTACACTTTTTGGAAGATCCTCCAATAAATATCGAATACAAAGTATCGTTCCATACAGAGGATTCGTTGCAGAAGCCTTCAGAATTGACTCTTTAGCATTGTCAATGCCTTCTTTCAGTATCGTGAGACACCATTCCAGAAGAATCAAGGTATTGTCAGTATCATGCTCACAGTGAGAATCCGGAAAAAGTTTTGTGGCGATCCTAGAAAAGATCACAAGCTGATAAGCCACTTGGAGCGAATCTGCGGGTCTCGCGCTGATCATCATGTCCTTCAGTTTATCTCGAATCTCCGCAGGCGTTCCAAATCGAAGTCCAATCCATTCTTCCAGGACGTTCTCGGGGAATTTCTTAAAGCATTCCGTGACGAGCTTCTTCACATACTCAAATGGAGAGTCAAAGCAGCTGAAGACTGCATCCAAATGCTTCACTTCCCAGGAGTAAGCACTCAATACATTCCACGTGTCTTTCAGGATCTTCAGTGCATATCTCTGTCGCGGAAAACTGCCTCCAGCGTAGAAATGCTCAAAGAGTTCCTCTCTGAAATCACCAATGAATTTGTGAACAATATCCTTCTCCTCTTGGCTTTGCTTCTTTCTTGCCAACACAGGATTGAGCAGAGAAATCCAGTTGATTTTGCTCTCCAAAGACTTTTGCTGAAAGACACTTCCAAATTTGAGCAAACTGATTATCAAATCCAAATTTTCCCGCGAAATCTCTTGGAACACTCTTGTTGCAGATACTCTTGTGCTCTCATCAAAAGCTACAAGAGCCTTAAGTAATATTTCCCGAAGCGCTGGAACTTTCATCAAATTCTCGGGAATCTTCTTTATACAATTTAAGGCAAAAAGAACAATTTCCGCAGGAATTTTCTGTGTGTCCTCCACAATATACGTACATATGTCACTGTTTGGTGTGATCAATTTCTTCAGAAGAGCTTTCGTTTGCTTTCTGAACCAACCACCCTGAGCAGATGTCTGGCACTGGTACAAAAGCCTCTTCAGACACTTTCTGTACTGATCTTTAGGCTGAAGTGTGGTCTGAATCAGCTCAACAAGTGCTTCCATCGAAGGATTATGATGCGTACAAGAGTCTCCATGGCAAGTCAAATCACACACCTTTGTTGATTGGAAGTCCTGTTCGAGAAGAGATATCGCCGTTGGAAATTGTTGCAAAGCACATGAAGATGAATAAACTTCACAGAAAACCGAGATAAGATATCCACGAGTTTTCGCTGAGCATTCTTCTACCTGGGCATAAGCATAAAACTCTGCCTCGACATCTCTGAATTCTTCTCTCTTTTGCTTCATACAAAAATGTAGAATATTTCCCACTGGAGTTTTCAGGTAGAATTGCGATAAATCACCTTTCGCCAACTTGAAGCTTATTTGAAAAACTTTCAGCAAATCTTGGACTTCGTCTCTACTCCAATCGTGAATATCACTCAAATCATCTTTGATAATCTTCGTTATTTCGATGATTTGGTGCATGACAGAGTAAGATTTTTCCGAATCACCCCAAAAATCATCGTACAAGTTTTCAAGAACAGTCGCACTAATTCTAAGAATTCTGCACTTATTCTTTCTTTCAATCAATATTTTTTCGGAGTGGTTCCAGAAAGTTCCTTGTATAAAATTGAAAAGGACTTTGTCTGAGAATTCCGCTGGGTTTCTCTCGATGCAGTTGAAAAGCTCTATCAGTTTACCCAGTGCCTTCCGCACTAAGATCACAGTTACTCCACAGACTTCTCGAAATTCCCTATCGAGATTTTCCACAGCCAAATAGTGAGAGACATTGACCAAGAGTAACTCCAGTTGTACTTGGCACGTGTCCACATTGATGTTATCCTCGAATCGATGGAGAAAATATGATAAGCTTGATATTGTGTTGAAGACGAACTTATACACCAGTTCGTCGTTTGTAATTTCTGGCAAATTTCTGGCTTCTTCAAGAAAATTTGTCAAGATTATGAGAACTTCTTTCCATTTCCTCCCTAATCCGTCCTTAGTAATCTCGAAATCATCAAGGAATCCTCTCATCTTCCTCGCCAGCATATTTCGGGCCTCCAAAGTGTCATACTTTTCAGGATAAATGGATACAGTGGCTTCTATTGCTGCACTTACGGATTCCTTTAGCGTCTCCTCATCTTTCTTCATCAGACTCTTTAGCAGTTCTCCCATCAAATAATGAGCATCGACGTCGTATGTGTCAGCTCGCAGGTCGAATACAAATCTGTAGACTATCCTTTTACACGAAGACTTGTGGACGGCTTTTGTAAAATCATCCAGGAACTATGAAATATCAAAATAAATTGTAAACAACTAATTTTCTTGAAGAAAAGTCTGCATTTTACCTCATTTAGTGCCTCCAGTTGCTCTAACTCAGTTTCAGTATTGGACATATCATCCAGGCATTTCGTTAGACACCCGAAATCAGCTGATAAAATAAAAAATAATGCATTTTTGATGATCTTATGACTCACAATCGTTGCTCTGTCCGGGAAGTTGATGTCAACTAACCTCTATCTTCCCGGTAATATTCAGGCAAGGCTAGTTTGGAGGAATGAATGCTTTCATCGTAGTAGTATCTTTGACGATGTCCCTTGATCATTTTCTAACTTCAGAATTCAACTCTTATCACACAAAAACAGATAATTTTAGGGAAAACCACGGGGCGATCATCAGCAACTCAACACAGCATTTCACAACGCTCTCAACCTCTCAGCCGACATGCGCGCCATCTAACTACTCAGCTAAACAATACAACAATCAACGTTCAACTGTTTTCCCAATAAACATTATTGGTTTAGAATTTTTTCCGATATGTCGTCTATTCTTATATGAATCGGAGTTTTAGAATAAAAGCAAATGAACACACAACTACAACTGGAAAGTGAATGCGATGAATTGAACCCCCTCAAAGGGGTTGTTTCAGTGCGGAAAGTTTCCGCGAGATGCCGCGGATTGCGCCTAAGGGGTGTGTCAGTGAGATTGTCAGCATAAAAATTGGGTATTTTTCCGAGCCCACTTATTCTTCGTTTTCTGTGAAAATAGCGAAAATCTTGCTGTATATCCACTTTAATTTCGTGCTGGAGTTCACCCAGATTGTGTTGCAATAAGTTTTTGTGCCGTAACATACCCGTAGACACGCCAAACAGCAAAATATGTCAGAGCGTAGAATGTCGGAAGAATGCTGTCTCTGCGGACGCTTTCTTCACTAATTTGGCGATAGTGAGAGATAGTGAGGGTCTTTCTCTACCTATTGATTAGTATATTTGCGAATTTTATCAGTTGGAAATACGCCCGTGATTGCCCTGTCTCAATATTTCCCTGCTGGGTTGTCCATCTGCCCTAACCTCACTTTATCACTACACAGCGAGAGACTCTCGAGAAGGGGCGGCTCTTCTCAGTACGAAGTACCACAATGTCCTTTCCGGGAAGACCACCAATTGTCCCCGGCATGTCGTACATGCCGCCTCCACTGATTCCACCTGTAAGTATGGCTTTGGGTGCATTTGAGGAGCACGAACTGACGGCTTGGCTTGTTTGCAGCTGCTCCCGGCTGGGATGCCACCCATGTCAACGCCGCCGCCCTCCGGCAGGCCCTATCGCAGCGGCAACTCCACCACCATCAACTCTCGTCCTCAGATGTACAACCAGCCGCCGGCTCTCGATGGACCTGTGATCACAGTGTTTATCGGGAATATTAGCGAACGCGCTCCGGAGTCGATGATTAAGAAGATCCTGGCTACTTGTGGAACCGTGCTAAATTGGAAGAGAGTCTCTACGTTCGGATTCTGCGAATACGAGTGAGAATTGACCTAGACATCTTTCGACTGGGTGAAACTAATTCTTGCGCGTCTTTCAGTGGCCCCGTGGCGGGATCTCGAGCTGTTCGTCTCTTGCATGGCTTCGAGGTGGATGGAAAGCGCCTTGTGGCGAAGGTGGATGCGAAGAACAAGCAACTGTTGGACACATACAAGGAGGAGGAGAGTCGCAACAAATCTAGAGATGGAGACTTTGAACAGAAGAACGATGAGACAATTTTAGGACGGATTTCGGGAATTCTCGTGGAGCACAAGGAAGAGATACAGAATTTCGTCGCTGCGGACAATAAAGGTAACGTCAATCAAAGTAAATACCCTTCTGTGGATTAAGTGTGAATGATGGATTTGCAGAAGTGTCGAGTTCGAGACACAACAAGATCCTTAATGACACGGACATTGAGGAGGGGAAGCGTGACTTGATTCACCGGGAGATTGGTAAGTTCCGCAAGACGGCCGAGGAGGAGGAGCAGAAGAAGGAGAAGGAAAAGGAACGCGAGAAGGATCGGGAGAAGGACAGGAAGAAGCGCGAGGACAAGGATCGCGAGAAGCGCCGCTCGACGAGTCCGGCTGCCCGAAAAGAGAAGAAGCGGCGTCGCAGTAAGTCTCGATCGCGTGAGCGCGAGCGTGAACGCGAGCGTGAGCGTGAAAGGGAGCGAGAACGAGAGAAGCGCGAGCGAGAGGCGCGTGATAGAGAACGCGAGAGAGAGCTTCGAGAGCGCGAGGCGCGCGACAGAGAACGTGAGAGAGAGCGTGAAGATAACAAGGTATGTTAGCTAATTGTCCAATCAGAATATTTAGTACAATGTGTTGCATGTGCAGGTGGTGAAAAACATCAAGGATCTGCAGAAGGAAAAGGAGATGGAAGACGAGTCGCGCGAGCGGAAGAAGCTGGAGAAGAAGGCTCGCGAGAAGGAGGCTGCATACCAGGAGCGCCTCCGTAATTGGGAGATTCGCGAGCGGCGAAAGGCGAAGGAGTACGAGAAGGAGCGCGAAAAGATGCGCTGCAAGGAGGAGGAGCGAGAACGTGAAGCGAAGCGCCTCAAGGAGTTTCTGGAGGACTACGATGACGAGCGGGATGATCCTAAGTACTACAAGGGACGCGAGCTGCAGCGTCGACTGGCAGAACGCGTCCGAGAGGCGGATAACGACGCTAAAGACAGAAACAAGGAACAGGAGGAGCTCGAGGAGCTGCGCAACAAGGTCTTCACAGGGGAGTACGATAATCCCACATTGGAATTCGAGAGGGTGAGTGCTTTGGAGAGTCGCGTCTGTGGTTCGGCAGTGTAACTGATTGATTGGTGTACTTTGCAGTTGAAAAAGGAACGCGAGGAGCTGTATAAGCCTAAGATTCTCATTGACGTGAATCTGGAGCAGTCCCAGCAGCGCGAGAGAGAGTTGCAGCGCGAATTGGAGCGCGAGGCCGAGCGTCAGCGAGCCAAGGAGAGGGAGAAACTTCACAAGGAGCGATATGTGATGGCGCAGGCGTCCAGGGAACTTGCGTCCATTGATGCAGAGCCCATTGATTCCGACTCGAGCGAGGACGTCCAGTCACCGTCACGCTCCAATCATCGTCGTTCCAAGTCCAGAGATTCCAATGCCAATAGTCTCAATCATCAGGTTTGTGCTTTGACGATCTTGCTGTGTCTTGTCTTGTGTAATATCACGGTGTTGTCTTTACAGAATGATGAGGATTCTCGAGCGTCAGCACGTGCATCCAGTCCCCCGGCAAATCATCATCACCATCTACACCATCACCATAATTCCCAGTCATCTGAGCGATTATCGGGGACGCCTCCCGTCTTGAACACGTCAATGATTTCGCTGAATCTGGGCGAGGCGACGGCCAAGCGGAAGAAGCTGGAGATGAAGGACGTATTCAGTATGGATGACGATGCCGAGGAGTCAAACGGGCCGAAGAAGAGGAAGCTCGTGCCGCTGGATTATGAGGATAGCGGCAAGGCGAGTGCAGCTCATATGGGACAGAGTCAGGCGGCCGCAGCGGCGGCTGCTGCAGCTGCCATTCAAGCTGGCAAGAATTCGACGTCATCGAGGAAGAAGGACGATTCGAAGAAGGGCGGCGAGGAAGCGGCCAAGAGCCAGGAGGAGAGGAGGAAGCACATCAAGAGCATAATCGATAGGATTCCCACGGAAAAGGAGGACCTCTTTAATTACAAACTGGACTGGAATGAGACGGACAACACGCTGATGGAGAAGAAAATACGACCGTGGATCAATAAGAAGATTATTGAGTACATTGGCGAACCGGAACCAACACTGGTGGACTTTATCTGCTCGAAAGTTCTCGCCGGAAGCACACCGCAAGGCATTCTCGACGATGTGCAGATGGTGAGAGTCTCTGCTTTTCTAGTACAACTGACAATCGCGAATCTCTGTGGGCAATGAAAATGATGTTTGCGATCTTTTCAGGTCCTCGACGAGGAGGCCGAAGTGTTTGTTGTGAAGATGTGGCGTCTTCTTATCTACGAGGTGGAGGCCAAGAAAGTCGGACTGGACAAGTGAGAGAGGGAAGCTTTGAAAGTATAGAATTGCATCGAATGAGAAATGAGGTTTTTTTGTGAGGAGCTGAATGAATGATACAAATTCCTTGTGGACATCCTTAGTTGTATCTTCAAAAATCTACAATTTTCTTAACACTTTCTCTATTTTATAAGAAAAGATGATGAAAAAATAGTGACTCTGCTGAGATTAGGAAAATGAATTTTAGTAATTTATAGATGGAAGCGATACACTTTACTGAGGAAAGAATATTCTCGGAATATGCTACAATAATATTGACTACTTAGAAGAGCTGGCTGAGACGATGAAGGATATAAATGGATAAGAGTAATGACACATTGAATATGTTATTTGCCTTCTTTGTGGACATGTTGGTTGGGGATTGTAATGAATTGGCCGCAATTCGGGATAGTGCATAAAGTCTTGGTCATGAGAAGCGCGAATGAGGCGGAAAAAGCGAGCAAAAGAGTGCAAAATGGGTCAACGGCAGTTGTGGTGATAATGAGATGTGATAAATGCTCCTTCACTCAGTCAGTAAAACCTGTCGAGGTCTGGTTCTTGGCCAGCATTGCTCCAGGGCGACCCGCATTCCCTTCCAGAGCGCCAATGCCGCTGCACAGTGATTGCAGCGTGGCTGCAAATTGAGCGATATCAGTGGCCGATTAAGTGAGTCACTTCGCTGGAACACGTTCTAAGGAGAGCGCTTCTTCCCCTACTCGCGGCCACCCACATCTCCCTCTCGCTCTGGCCCACTGGCCGGCCGTGCCGGAGAGAAGGGCATAGAGAAGACGGGTGTTTTCTCACCTGCCACTCGCGCCGTCTCTGTTGCGCCTTCACGCTCCAGGAGGCTCAGTATCACTGACCACGGTTCACTTTAACGGTATCCGCTGCAGAGACACGAGCTCTCGACCTCGCCAGCGACGCTGGGCCCCACGGCCTCCAGAGCACGTAGCAGGTGAGGCTGCGGTTCCGCATCTGAGGAACAATTGATTTCCTCCCACGGAAGATTCTTGCCACTGTCACATGAGATGATGTATGAATTTGCGTGACGTGCTCCATTTCCGCACTGGCAACGGGATAGCATCGCCATAGCGCACCGTCACATCTCTGCGTCCCATCACGCGCGCAGCCACTCTAACTGTTCCCGGTGTGATCTTTCCGCCGGATGATTGCCAGGGCGCGCGAAAAAACCGCCAAGGGTTCCGCTCCGTGACCCCTGAGAATCCCAGGGATTCTGCGAATTCCCTCACGTGGCCGCCGTCCTCACCTTTTCCCTTCAATCGCTCCGGGGAATTTTAATTAACCCAACAGCATCTCATGACCCGACAGATTAGCCCTGGAGGTGAGCAAGAGGATCGCCAGCCATGAAATTTCCCCAAAGATCAGCTCGTTGAAGGGGATTTCACGGATCATCACTGCGGTAACCCGGAAATTCTGGACACAGCACTGTTTATATGGTGGAAAAAAAATTAAATCTGGAGTCAGTGATCAATAAATAAGAATGAACCATTAATTCGTTCGTAAATTTGTCACGGATTAGTGGACAAAGGAGGCTTCTAATAATGAATCTAAGCATTGAATGCCTTCGAGATCTTTACTCTTTTATCAATTTAAGCCGTAAAATGTCTTATTGGCCTACCACATTCCACATAAATAATTATGATTTATTGCATATTCAGAATTATGTGGAAGTCGCATGGGAATGGATTTATTCTTTAGCAGGGAAATGCTACTTCAATGCGACTAGAAATGCTCACTGAAGTTGATTACTAAAGTTAATTGCAATGCAAATGTTTGTTATGAAAGTCACAACACAAGTTGGCGGAAATTTTATTATATTTTTTCCCAACTGATGATGAAAAAAAATATTGATAAACTAATCCGTCGTAGAGTTTCTTCGCACAACATGACATCAAAAAAGCACTTTAACGACTTAATTTTGCTCTAGAAATTTCCTCTAAATGCGATTTAATCTCCAAGATGCGATCCGCTCAGTCGGAAAGCTATTGTAATTAAAAACTGTCGATGAGCTTGTGTTGTGTTTTCAGAAGTTTATCTGGCAACGGCAGTTGAAAGCTCTAAAAGCATAAAATAGCAGTCATAGTGCTCTCGATTGCAATCAATGAATGGATGTTGTGCGATAAGGCCGAGGTGCGGAAAGAGGTCAGAGAACACTTGGAGCTGCTCTTAATGAAACTGTGCGGCAGAAAGAGCGGTCCAGAATCCGTGCCAGAAGAGACAATCGCCAGTCCCGGACATGAAAGTCTCGCGAGCGATTGCATAAATCATTTCTCTTGTCAGAATACCTTGTTCTCTCATTGCTGGCGAAAAGTGCATCGCAATTCTTCGCGACATTGAACTGCTGGATGGCAAAATTGGCGAGCGAAAGAGTGAGAGATTTCAATTACACCGGAACGATTTTACACAGTCGAGCAGAGCTCCTCCGCCAATCTTCAGCCGCTCTTCAGTTCGCCATCAGCCACCGATGGAGTGACACGCTCGCGGTTCCCAGGCTCACTCTCTGCTGGTTTCTTCGCCACAGAGCATCGACTGCGCAACAGCTGGGGCCTCTTTTTTGCGTAAAAGCACTCCCTTGATGGTCTCTCAGGCATCGCGGGCAACCTGTCCAATTGAAAGTTTCGCGTGTGCTGCATTGTTGGTTCGCGGTTGAGAAAATCCACCGAAAACATTGTGAAACACCCCGAAAAAGTGAGGCAAAGACAGACCAGAAGCTAGAGAGACTTTCAATCGCGAAATTCAGGACTGCGAACAAAAGACGAAGTGACCAAGAAAAGTACACATCGCCAGGCAGAAAATCACCCAGATTGCAAATGTAAATTTGCGAGATTGGAAATAAATCTCACGTGAGACTCTGTGAATGCAATTAATAATTGATATTGCCTCCTTGGGCATTGTTCCCAGCGGAAAGAAACACTTCTTTGTGCGCGAGATTTTGCAGTGAGATGGAAAAACGTCTGAGAAAATCAGTGATTTAGTGGAATTCTTCAGAAGATCGTTCAGCTCTTTGAGGAAATTCCTCAGAAGTCATCGATATTTGCCATCAGGACTTGGCATAAATATTACAAAATAGAAAGAAATGGGAAGAAGGTGAGTAATTGCGCGCACTTTAGCAAAATTATGCACTATTCCCCTGATCCACTTATTTTTTTCTCTTGCTCAATGTGCATAAAATCTTCCTCAATTTCACACTTTGAAGAAGAATCGCACTATCGCCCAGTGAAACGTATTTTCAATTATTGTTTGTATCTCTCTTAATTGTTTATGCAAATTTAATTGTTTCACTGCATCTCCTCCACACACCAACCATGTCCGAGAAAATAACAAAGAAATGCGCAGAAAACAGTCTATCATTAATTTCTTCTTTCGCCCTCGAGAAATGAAAAATTCCAGTGAGTGATTTCCGGGAAGACATGGAAAATGTCTGAGAAGAGAAGAAGGACTCTTAGGTCGATACACTTTTATTGTGCAAAAGCTTTGCTGAGCTTTTTAGCATTTGTGAATTTCAATTCTTTAAATCCCTAACACAATTTTAGGCCTCACGAAATTTCTCACAAGAAATCCATTCTCGTTTGTCTCTCAGTGGAATCTCGAGAGACAATCAAAAGACATGTTAAAAAAAATTTTGCAACATTTCGGAAGTACTGGAAGGTCGGAGTTCAGGAGCAGAAGAGGTTTCTCACACGTACGACATGACGAGCTACTTGTGGCTTGTTTGTGAAATTGACCGCTTTCGGAAGCGATAGAAGCCATAAACGAATGGGGATCGCGTGGCGGAAGAAGAGCGAAATGCTGGTGTGCTCGCGAAGATTGCGCGCGTTACGTAAGAGAATCGGCACAAGAAGCAATTGCCATTGACATTGGGAGTCATCGATCGGTGATCTAGCATGAGGAGACTCTCTCCGGCGGTGCTGTCTCGTGTGGCGCAGCACCTGAGAGAAATGCAAGGAGAGCAGCATAGAGCACCGCGAGTTGTGCAGATCAAATGGTCACGATTTTGCATAACATGGTAACAAATTACGTTATAGGATGCTCGCGAAGAAGCGAGAAGGCGCGAGGGAAATGGGAAAGAATCGAGGTTAGAAATCCAGTGAAACGACCTCAAATCACAAATTCTCTGATATATTCTCTCTGTCTCTCTCGCTTCCACATGTTAGAATCGCAAATAAGTAAACAGTCAGCCGATAGCGAGATTGAGAGAAAATGCCAAAGGCTATAGAACACTCAAAAGTGGGAATTGCGAGTTCAGCCAATGTGCTGTGTTTTGTTCCTTTTGGGCGCAAATGGGAATTCTTCCCGCCAAATCACTCCATTCACTCGAACTGATTTCTGCGCAATGCTTCCCGAAACTTTCCTCCAACTCCCACACTTTTGATAGATCAATCGAGGTGGATGGATGTTTAGCCTTTTTCCGCGAGCACGTTTTGCCAGTTCAATCACGAGAATTATTGTGTGTGATTCGAGGGATCACGAGAGGTGGAAATATCGGGCTAAAGAATGGAATCACGCCTGATAACGGGATTGAGAATGATTCCAACTTATTATTTTCTTCATCTTCCAAGCCCATCAGTAAGGAAGAGAGTCGAACAAAAGCGAACAGACGTTGTGTATAGTAGAAGACCCCATTGAATTTCATGATCAGGAAATTCACAATTGCTCCAGCGCGATTCCATCCATGAATCCCGTCCGCTGGGGCGCCTCTTGAGCTCCATCTCCTCCCACTGATGAACCCGTGATCCAGACTCCCTCATTAGCCATCGAACACCTCTCCCGTGCGCGCGCTCTGGAATTAATGAGGATGGGAATATAATGAGCAAAGATTAATCCAATAACACGCCAGAACACACACTGTCCGCAATTAATCATCGGCGAGTGAGCGAGATTAGAGGCAGAGTAGCGCAGAATGTGGAGCATATGAGTGAAATTCTTAATGACCCGAACTAATTATCACGTTTCGCGTTGATTTTTCAACCATCTGGTGGCATAGCAGCACATTTCTACCATTCCAGTCAATCAATTTGCCTTCCTCCACGCCTTTCTGGCCTTTTCTGTACCACTCGTGGGATCCACTTCTGTTTGTCCAGAGAGCTTTTTGTTTTGGCATTCTCAAGCGGAAATTCATCAAGAATGCCTTATCGTGGGGACTCAACACTCGCAGATTTACAGGGATGAGGTTTTATCTCTCGTGATCATCTTGAATCTATTTGTCTAATTACCCTGGCATGCAACATGTGCGAAATGCAAGCCTAAATCTTCATTTGAATTAGCGTTAAGAGAGCAAATTAGAGAATTTCCCGAGCATTTCAAACACTCTTCATTACCGAACAATTCCATTCGAAGTAATCTGGGTTTATTGTGTGAATAGAGATTACTTTCCATTATAATTTCTCTGTATCATTTGGCCACGCGCTTGTGTGTTGATAGTGGGCGTTCTCAGACCCGAAATCATTCTGTTTACATTTGGACTTTTTTGCATACTCACATTAATTATCTCTGCACATGTCGCAAATGGAAAAAATGTCCATCACTTTCATTTACGCTGCGAAAGTAGGCGTCCTTGGTTTTGAAGATCAGCAGCGACAATTTGTAAACTTGCGGATTATGTCACAGTAAAATTGAGCGTCAAAGCGTATTTGAAAAATTGTTCTCATATAATGATTTGAGATAAGAAATGAGAATATTGGACGTGGAGACTTTTACGCATTCAATATCATTTTTATTTTAACGTTAGATTTGTTTCAAGATAGTGTAGTTATGACTGTTCGAGAAGCAGTAACCATGATGACCTTTTCCGCATAATAAAAGTTATTTTGCATAAAGAACATCATCTAACTAAGCTCAGCAATTGTCAACAAATGCATCAGTCTCAAACTAATTCTCACTCTAATCGTTACAATTCCTGGTTATCGAAAGAAAAAAAAAAATCATACAATGTCAGTGATCAAAGTAGTATTTTTGACTCTTTCTTTAACACTTTTGGCGTTTGGTTTTATCTTACATTCTCCGCCCAGTATAAATCCCGGTAAGATTATGTGTTTAGTGTTTTAAATATGCATTCTAACTTTCTAATTTCAATGTCCCTTCAATTTCACCAGAATATCCTGAGCGTTGCTGGATTGAGAATTTAAATAGAACAATCAGAGGTGGTGAAACTTGGACGAATCGTGAAAATTGTGTGAAATACATTTGTTCTGCTGATGATTTCTCATACATAGCCATTGGATGTGGCGTGGCTAGTGTGGATCCTCCCTGTTACCTAAAGGAAGGAGATAAAACAAAGGATTATCCTCAGTGTTGTCCCCAGAACACTTGCGAATAATCTACCAATATTTACATTAGTTTTTATTTCAATGTTTGCACTTCTACGCATACGGGTGTTTGCAATGAATAAATTGGAATTTTTCTGTCTTCCCAGAAGCTAAATCAAGTTGATTTCTATTTTCATATGACGGGTTTATTTGATCTTTTTATACATTTGGAAAATCCCACCTACGCGACAAGATCGCGGTTCAACTATTCGTTTGTCGAATCGTTTAGATCACTCTGTAATTGGTTGTCATCGGGATAGGTTCATTGGTTGTCAGCGCTCAAAATCAGGATAATTTGACAAAAATGTCAGTGATTAAGTTTGGATTTTTGGTCCTTTGCCTGGTAATTGTAGGCTCGGCTCAGATCGTTCGTCATCCACCAAGCACGCATCCTGGTAAGCTTGCAATTTGTATTTCCAGTCAAGATTCAGTTATCAAGACTTTCTTACATCTTCCGTGAAGATTTCCCTGGACATTGCTGGTTTGCCGATCTCAAACAAGCTGTGAAAGGTGGTGAAGAGTGGACCGATCGTGAAAATTGCTTGAGATACTCTTGTTATGCACATGATTTTTCCTATGAAATTGACGGATGTGGAAAACTTCAAGTTCCTCCTGAATGTAAACTCACCGCTATTGATAAGACCAAGAATTACCCGGATTGCTGTCCCAAAATCTCCTGCAACTGACTCATCAACCTCTTTTGCTGCATATTTAACACAACATCGTGAATGAATAAAGTGTGACGTTGAGTACATTTAGAAGCAATTTATCGTGTTTTATGTCTGTTCATCAGAGTTGAGTCTACATAGATTTCACGGGGGGTTTTCTTTTTATTCTTCATACACTGCTTTACATTCAAAGTTACTTATGTGGGTTTTCGTCTACTTGGTGATCATCGACAAAAGTCTCACCCACACGACGAAAGTGGTCGTCCTTCGATTTTGGAGATCACGATCATTTCGAGTTGAAAATTACATCATTCATAGACCGTCTGTCGCCGCGGTCAGACTGATCGAGATTTTGGTTGTGGCGCACTTGTGATAAGATGTTAGTTGGCAAAGTCGGAGTTTTGGTGTTCGCTTTAGTCGCAGTTATAACAGGACAAATTGCGCATCATCCGCCGAGCACAAATCCTGGTCAGTTAATTTCATAGTTGTCCTTTCTCTTGCTCATGCTTATCTTCTGAACAGATTTTCCAGGACACTGTTGGCTTGAGGATTTCAAGAAGGCTCTCAAGGGTGATGAATCATGGACAGATAGGGACAATTGCGTGCTCTACTCTTGCTCCGCTGACGACTTTTCATACCAAATATCAGGATGCGGTGCGCTACAGCCTTCCGATCCTGAGTGCGTGATCTCAGCCGGAGACAACACGAAAGACTTCCCAGATTGTTGTGCCCGAGTGTCATGCAAATGAATTTCAGCGACCGCTGATCTGTTCTGATCAACTCTGTGTTGAGCAATCGTGATGTTTTGACTTCTTCTTTCGACTGCTGAGGACTTGCCCAATAACTGAGAACTTCTCCCTCAAAATATGTGACCGAGACACACATTTGGAGTATGAAGAGGAGAAAATGATACTGACAAATGGTTAACGGTTCTGAGGCACATCGCGAGACGTGCCAAAGAGTGGCACTCAAAAATGCCTCAGTTGAGACGTCTTCATTTACCAATGCGCGCACTAAACTCTCTACTAATAACAGTTATACAAATTAGAAGATTTTTCCACCAACTGTCACAGAAAAAGTGGGCTTCGTCAATTTTTGCCTCTGCCGCTAATCTTCGCTGGTCGTGAGGAAAATCCCACAGGCCTCGTGGGCAACGCAGCCCATCATCATCCATCTAATTAATCTTTAATGACCAATTGTTTAGGTATGACTTTTTGTCTTTCGTGGGGAACCTTACGGGTTCTTTCGAGGCTTCTTGTGCAATTCATGAGCATTCAGAGCGTGATTAATCTCTGTGTGTGCAGCCAAGATGATGGCCACAAATCAATAAAATTATCATCACGCACTGGTCTGTCCCGAAGAAGCTGCTGAAATCACTTCCGTCCATTTCGCAAAAGAAGCATCCCGGGAGCATGCGAGGCGATGGCGATTAGCAAAGCTCTCCAGGGAGTAACAGTACCTCTGGAGGGAATTCGAACGCTGACCATTGATTGAATTATTGGTATTGTGCGCCAATAATGAATAAACTGTTGGCTCTTTTCTCCTCCCTTTCTCAAGTCTATAGAATAAATTCAATGGCGCTTTTCGTGTCTCAAACATTGTGAAGCTCTTGGGGAAGGAGATGAGAAAGATTCCGTAATGTTACGCTTCATGTGTGAAATTATGATCTAACTGTCGTAGATTATTGAATTCTGAGCATCTTCCTGACCATGGCACGCAAATCAAATTACAGAAAAATTTCTCCGTGCATATTCATAGCAATTTGGCAACTTCAAGTTCAACAATCGCGAACAATGCGCGAGAGCAAGTTTATTTCAACAAAACGCGATCATGCCTAATTAGAGATGATCGCATCTTTGAGGAAGTTGAATTTGCGCCGCACTACAATCTCTTCGCGGTGAATGTATCAATTGATTTGTATGCGAATACGTCGTAAGAGAGACGGAGGAGAATTTCAATTGAGAATTAACCGTTTAGTCCCCTGAATTGTGTGCTTCTCTCGGCCGAAAATTGAAGGTGGTTCCGTGACCCAATTCTCGCCGCTATCAACGATGGAACACTTCTTTCTGCTGACTCTTCACGAAATTACAGTCTCAGAAGTGCTAACTGTTCCTCTGTCGACGAAACACCTCTCTTCCTGGTGCGTAAGACAGATCTCTTGAGAAGAGTTCCTCCGCGACAATGAGTCCGCACAATTCCAGCCACACACATCGGGCAATAATTCAACGGTGCTAATTAATTGGGATGAATAACGCAACTCAACGCCTAAATTTAAAAAGCGTAACGTGCAATAAATACCTCTTGTGCTGCACTTACCATTTGCCATAAGAAGTGCTGTTGGAAAGAGTGTGTTTGACTTAACTGAAAAAGGGAGGTATTGGGCGCCCACGAGCCGAGGGCGCCATCATCCCACGCTCAAGAGGTTCAAAATCAAGTTCAAAGACCAATCTCATAAGGCACTATTTGTCTTCGGAGCACCAACAATTGCGGAGAAAGGTGAAATGCTCCATTTTTTCCCTGCTCTTGCACTGTCAGACACGAGGAAAGGAGAAAAAAACAATTTATGATGCAATTTAACAAAGAAACAATAAAACTTTCGAGATCTTTTCAGTCGCCGAAATTAATGTGATTTGGAAGAATTCACTTCCCACCGAAAGGTTGTTAGTCCCCAATCAAAATGTTGTCTTGGGCGCCTCTTTGGAAAGGCCATTCTTTCATTCGAGCACAAATGAGTGACTGGAAATCGCGCATTATTGAATGAAAAGAGGAATTAGAGAAAGATAAACAATAACATTTTTATAGTACCACATTCCTTTCATTTCTCACAAGAAAGGAATCTCTAAAATTTGCCAGAGATATTAAATTAAATGATGTTTTACACATTTTTTCACGGTGTTTCTATCTGTCATAAACTTCATCAGCTTGGCAAATGAGGAATTTTAATCAACTCATTTTCACTTTCATTATTAAAACTCTCAAATGACGATCTCTTTGATTATTCCAAATTATATAAAAATCAAATGGAATCTGAGCTTTGAATTCACTGATTATAGGAATATTGGTAATGCGAAATGCTCCGCCCAGAAACTTTCGTGTGAAAATTCGTATTTGAATTGTTGATTGGATGTTAGGTCATCAGTTTTGGTGTCTCAAAAACCCTATTCTTGAATTTGGCTGCAAGATTCTGCTCCGCGGATGAATTCGCCACTAAATGTTTATGGATCTCATTATTAAGTCTTACTGCTATTCCGTATTCTTCTTCTCATGCCATATCTTTTCCGCTTTTTATGAATAATTTTTATGTCATCATATTCCGCAACTTTTTGGCCATAAAGTGTGAAAATTGACATAGAAAAGCAAATAATGCGAATAGGAACTCCAGAGTAAAACAGTTTTTTTCTGTTTTCTTCTCTTGGCATGAAATATTTCAGGAACCGGAAACGTTAAAATTTTAAATTTTTTGCTATTACAATCTTAAATGAATTTGTAGAGTGAAAAATTAAATCCATATTTCCAATGCATTAAAATCTTTGACCCACTGCATAAAAGTAATGAATTAAGTTAACGAGCAAGGGCTGCTTCGCTCCCATTCCAGCCCTGACTTATTAACTGATCCCAATTAGAGTGAAAAGTGGATTTTCATTGTGAAGTCGGTGAAAGACTATTGTATTACTTGTCACTTTCAGTCTCCACCCAAATGTGATCTCTCTCCTCACTCATCCGTGGCGATAGAGTGTCGATAAATCGACAAGGTCAGGTGGGAAAGACGTGACTTATCGCGGGAGCATCGGCATCTGGCGTATTGCATAAAAGCATAGAAAAGAGAGTCAGCGCAAAGATAATTTGAAGAGTGTGAAGAATGTCACTGGCAGAGATCACGAGAGCTTCAAATTGGAGTGAATGTGATTCGATGTTACGTGGGAAAATTATTATCATTGAAATAAATAAATCCTAGTGAAAGATGGAAAGAGAGGGAGAAAAAAATGTGCATGGAAATGAAGACACTTTCACTGATATTGCTGCTTTTCCGTCTTTCGTGCGTCTAGTAAATCTTAATAAAATTTTAATAAATATTTATTGAAGTGCAACTTCCTCTTTGTCGGACTCAACTGAGGCTTTTTTCCGAAATATTTAACTTGGCAATTAAGCGGTCTCGTCTTCTCACTTTCTTACAGTAAACTCATGGACTGGCCACAATTGCTCTTCGTGGGCTTCTTCATCGGCGCCACGGGGGCCTCTGTGCGCCCTCCGCCCAATCACGTAGCCTCCATCAGCGCCAACTGCACCAGGGAGTTCATGAGTCTGCGGCTGGACCTCGATCGGCCCTTTAAGGGCGTCGTGTTCGCCAAGGAGTTCGCCGAGGAGTGCCATTCCCGCGGGAATCTCACGTCCGCCATCAACCTTCGTTTGCCCACGTCGGGCTGCGGCGTGCGATCGGAGCCCCAGGAGGACGGCTCCATGGAGCTCTCCGTCCGCATCGTGGTGCAGATGGACGGGAAGTTGCGCCAGAGCGCCGACGTCGTCAAGATCGCCAAATGCTCGCTTCCCACTGACATGATGAACATGAATGTCATTGGCACACACGAAAAGCCCGTGAGGTAAGACCAGGGAACATTTGCAGAGGATTCTCAGCATTTAGCAGGGAAACAAGCTCGAGAGATTGTTCAGTCAAATGAGGAGTCATCGCGCTTTCTCATCTTTGTATAAAAATTGCGCCATTCGTTGCATAATTCTTTTTTGAAGTGAAAATAACGAAAATAAGAGTTTCGCGATTTTATTATTTGAGGAACGTGTGAATTAGTCGATAATGATTTTTACTTGAAATTCAATATGTGGCAGAAGTGAGAGATTTGCCATTTGTATTAGTCCCTCAGATGCTTTCAGCGGAAATGGGAAAGTCAGCAAATGAGTGAATCATGCGAGGTGTTTGATAGAAAGCCTCACAAACTCTTAAATTGCTTTCATCTCATCCTTTAAATATTTGCAAAATCATTTTCTCCTTGAAGACTGTCCCTGGAAATCTGTGCTGAAGAATTAATCTTAGAGATCTGAAGAAATATCCTTGGCTATATCTTCCGGAAATCGTTGAGACCTCATTGGAATACATAACAGTAAAGCCTTTCTCCTTCTGCAGAAACGGAAGAATGAAGACAGACGTGACGGGCTCGTCAAGAGTGCGAGTGTGGCTGGAATTGGGCGGAAGTGGCGGCACGGGATCGGTGGAAGTGGGCCAGGCTACCACTCTGGGCGTCCGGGCAATCCTGCCAGGAAGCGTGGGAGTGCGCGTGGTGGACTGCATAGCGCTGGATGGTCTCGGAGAAGCGTCCCAGAAGCTCCTCGACGACAGAGGCTGCCCCATCGACGAACAGGTGAGCTCCCCAGATGGGGAATTTCACTTTTTTACGAGGCACGACGAGAGAGAAAGAGCAAAAATTTGCATTACAAACTTTCTGATCTTGAAAACATTTTTCTCTTTGTACCATCTCCCTCAGTCTCGCCCTTCTGCCAGAGGAGAGATTAATAATTCAACGAGACGTGGGAGATTTTTTTCCTCGCCGCAATTGTTTCGCCACAAATATTTTCATCTCCATTGCCAAAGAGGAGAAAAATACTCTTCAATTATCCATTGTTAAGACAAAGAGATACAATTGTGACGATTGGGAGTGCTTTTTCTTGGCGTGCGTAGAGGAAGAGCCTCTGGACTCTCGATTTTAACGTCTCTTGTCTTGACAGGTGATGCCGGCGCTTCTGGTGCGATTCCGACCCATCGAGGAGGGCTGGTCGAAGCCGCACAAGGACGATTTGGTGGAGAAGCTCTTCCAGACCACATTTCCCGCCTTCAAGTTTCCGGACAGGGAACACTTGCACGTGTCCTGCGGCGTTCAGCTGTGTCGCGGCAGATGTCCAAAAGTCGACTGCCGGCGTCCAGACGAGCGCTTCGTGCTGCCCGCCGACAGGCACCTGGCCAGAATCGAGGTGTACAACTCCCTGGCCGTGTCGGCGCCTCAAATTGAGCTGGACTCGAGAGCAAGGGGCGAGCGCAGAGGTAATATGACTCTGGAGCAGTACCAGAGGCTGAAGAAGATGCGCTCCGACGGCACCCTCTGCCTCTCGCAGTCCTTCCTCGCGCTGTCCTTCTGCATCTTGGGTGTGATCTTCCTGGTCGCCATCATCGTGGCACTCTGCTGTCTGCTCAGATCACGAATGCGCACCAATCACGGCAGTTCCTATCGCAACTCAGGAGCCAGCATCTTCTCTTCGAGGTAAGTGATAGGGACATGCGCCCAGCGTGAGCATTATCATCAATTTAATTGCTAATCATCTCTTGTGTTTCTTCCCCAGCTCTGGCTCCCAGTCACGCTTCGGCAGCAAACTCCTCATCCCATACACGGGCTCTCTCCCATACGGAAGAGTCTACTGATCGCCTTTCTTTCGCTCTGGACAGCATTCCCTCCACAAAGACTGATCTCTCTAGTGTGTAAAGTGCATGCATGTCAATTTTCATGCATATCATTAGAATTGTTTATCTTCTCTCCTGTGAATTTATCTCTTCTACCGGTGTTGGCGGGAAATCAAGCTATGGGTGAGAGGTGGAAAGTGTGCCCAACGGCACCTTCCTAACTGGGGTCTATTTTAAAGTACACAATATGTAAGATTGATGTAATTAGTTGAAATGTTGTGATAAGAATAAACAAATTTTCCGAGAATTTTTGTTTTTTTTTTAAGGAATCAATTATTTTCCCCCTAAAATCCTTATTGCAAACTCCGTAATCTCAATTCTAGTCTATGGTCAAATCACATTTTAAATTCCCCTTGTTTGTCACTTAAGAAATTAAACAATTTTTCTTTACACCCTGTTCGCAATGCCGCCAAAAACGTTTCGCCTCTCATCCGCATTGAAAGTTTGGCGCTGCTGCAGCTAAAGCGCAAACTGTTTCGCATGCTCTCCACTGGAAGCGCCACTAGCAGTTAAGGTGGGATTCAGGTCAGCTGACTTCTCTGGCAAAATTGGTTTCTTGTGTGTGAATTTTTCCATAGAAAAATGTCAGGAAAGGATCGTCTTGCAATCTTCCCCTCTCGAGGGTAAGTCTTCCCTTCCACCAGGCTCAGCGATTGACGGAGAAATGCACAGCCACGAGGAGAGATTTGGCGTGAATTGCTGGGTGTCGTCTGGATGTGAGAAGACAGGGTCATGTGAGTCTTGTTGGATCTTTTCAGGGCGCAGATGTTGATGAAGGGCCGTCTCGCCGGCGCCCAGAAGGGTCATGGGCTGCTGAAGAAGAAGGCAGACGCCCTGCAGATGCGCTTCCGTCAGATCCTGGGCAAGATCATCGAAACCAAGACACTCATGGGCGAAGTGATGAAGGAGGCGGCCTTCTCGCTGGCCGAGGCCAAGTTCGCCACGGGCGACTTCAACCAGGTGGTTCTGCAGAATGTGACCAAGGCACAGATCAAGATCCGCACGAAGAAGGACAACGTGGCTGGTGTGACTCTACCTGTGTTCGAGTCGTACCAGGACGGCGCGGACACTTACGAGCTGGCTGGATTGTCTCGTGGTGGTCATCAGATCAGCAAGCTCAAGAAGAACTACCAGAGCGCCGTGAAGCTGCTGGTGGAGTTGGCCTCCCTCCAGACGGCCTTCGTGACCCTCGACGAGGTGATTAAGATCACCAACAGGCGCGTGAACGCCATCGAGCACGTGATCATTCCGCGCATTGAGCGCACCCTCGCCTACATCATCTCCGAGCTGGATGAGTTGGAGCGCGAGGAGTTCTACAGGCTGAAGAAGATCCAGGACAAGAAGAGGATCGCCAAGGCCAAGGCAGAGGCCGCCAAGGCTGAGCTTCTCGCTAAGGGCATCGATGTTCGCGATGTGTCCAACTTGCTGGACGAGGGAGATGATGATATACTCTTCTAAGCGCGCCCGGCAGCATCTCCCGGCTATTCCATTCGACTTGTGTGTAAATTTTTACTTTGTCTCCTGTGTAAATATCGCTTTGGCGGCGCCTGCGAGCAGTATTCCAAGGGGAGGTGTTCTTTCTTTCGGTCTGTAGTAGAATCCAATGTTCGCTGTCTCAAGAGAGTTGCAATGAGTTGATTAATTGGAAAACAATAATAAATGTTAGAGTATTTATTGGTTTACTTTTATTTGTCATGAGATAAAATCCTCTGTAAATAGTCAAATGAGGCAACGTGTAAAATGGACAAAATATTCAATTTTTTAAATTCTCATTTCAGATCCAACAATATAGAAAAATTGGTCAGCTAAAAGGTTTTATCTTTGTCATAAAAGTTGTGCTCCAAAGACACAATCGTATATGAAAAAACATCTTTACGTAATAACATGTGCAGAATGACAATGAGGAGAGATTAGCCAGAAAATAAATTGTTCGCCAGGGAATTCATTCTGCACTCCAGCACGACATCTAAAATGTGAATATAGCATCTTTTCTCTCTTATACATTCTATATAACTCTGATCAATTTTCACTTTGATTCTTGAACTAAAACCACGAAAAATAGACCATGTCATCTAGTAGATCACATTGAATTTCTGGGATGGTACTGAAGCGAGTGGATGAAGGCAGGGAGAGACTCTTAGTCGAGCACTTTGTACATGATCTTGAGCTTGTCATGTGGCGGCTCCACCATGAAATCCGCCACTTTGCCATTCTCCAACGAGTAGAGATACTCTGACTTTGTGCTGAAGCCCAGGGAGCTGAAGGTCTTTTGGGAGAAGAGCCCCGTGGCGTCAGTCTTCATCAGCTTAAAGCCATTCTCTCGTGCCACTTCCTGGCTTTTCTCCATCAGCTTCTTGGCCAGGCCTTGGCCCCTGAACCTGCAACGATGAGCGTGCAAATTATGATCTACATAAATTCAAACAGTAACAGCTGCAAACTCACCTGCAATCGACCGAAAGAATGCGAATTTCAAAGATTTTCTCCACTCCAAAGCTATCGAAGAAGTCCGTCTTGAGATTCTCCTCGTACAGGAGCCTGAAGATTTTCTTGAAGCGCTCATCCTGAGTGTCCTTGAGCGCGTCTAATGCCTTCCTCACCTCACCGCGTCTCAGAATGCCGTTGAGCGCCACGCCAGCAATCTAAGAGGCGAGACGTGAAAGAGATAATCTGGGCCTCCCCTTCCGCCCACTCACCACATTCTCATCCGTGACTGCCATCACGCTCAGGCCGTCGCGGAGAGTTTTCTCGCTGTGACGCTCCAGCTCCAGATGTCCTTCACCAGGACGACACAACTTCACGGCGCGATTCAGGGGCTCGTCAGCGAAGAAGGTGTTCCGCAGGTGAATGATGATCTCCCCTAATCGATCAGAGTTCGCAGGAATCTGCCGCAACTCTATCTTCATCGGCCCGTTATCGAAGATACTCATGTGGAAAAGCTTTTCCGTGATACGCTTCAGTAACTGCGAATAAGAGCGTGGAAGACATCATTTTCCATACAGTCTTGTCAATAAAATGGATAAAATGCAATATTCAAGCCTCCTGAAAAAGCCACTCAAATTCAATTGTGAGATGCAATAAAATCCTCTTTCTTTTCCAACTCATCCTCCACTTTTCAGCTGGAGTTTCTCCAATCCCAACCCTCTCGCGAAGAGGCAAGCAGAAGAGGGAATCGCATATTCGAGAAATGGAGTGGAGAAAGAAAAATCATGTCGACCTTCTAATGAGTTTAATATGATTTTCAACATTATAGACTCTAGAAACATTTCTGTACATATCTAATATGAGTATAGAACTCTTGGATGCTATTTAGTTTAGATTGAAGCTGAATAAAAAGAGTCAAAACATTATCATTTCGAATTCGACCCAAGAAAGCCCAATAAGCACAAGTTAATCTTGTCGGATGCTTACCTACTTTTTTCACATTTTCTCTGAATCTATGAGTAAGATATAATAGCTACTCTTGCATTTTCACCCCTGAGAAAATTGATCTTGACCTTCGCACCGGAAGAAAGGCGATGGCAAGACGGATTGCGAATTTCTCGAGAATCGTCAAATTGAGTGTTCTTGGCGCGCTTTCCACCCCATCGCACCGTTTTGCCCACATTTGGGCCACTACCGGAATGGTTGGGTGGCCGCAGAAGCGAGTGTGTGCTCAAGTACGAGGAAAATGCGAGCACTGGAAAGGGGCGACAAGAGGAGAAATAAATTAATCGCTGCCGCTTTTCCACCCTTTTTCGCTAGGATCCAAAATTCATGATGCCTATTCTTCACACAATTGGTCGAACGAGCGCTCCCATTTTCATGGCGAGATGAAATTTTCCTCGAGAGATCCTTTCGTGCGATTTTCGCCTGGATTCCCCACTGAGAGGGTGTGTTGGGTGTGCAATTAAGCGGTTTTTTATTGCTGGCGCAAAGTACAAAGCCCTGGAATTTAAATTTATGTGTCTCTTGCACACTCAAGAAATGCAATCACGAGATTTTTCCACGTGAAACTTTCATTCTATTTGCATACATTTCCAATTCAGACACATCATAAAATCAATAAACACTTACATTTTTGGGGCTGTATTTGATTGTGTATTAATTGGAGGAGGGAATTTCTGAGCACAGGCACTGATCCTTTGTGGTCTTCTTCTCACTCTGAGCACGCGAAATCCTCTCTGCTCAGTGACGACGTGGTCGCTGAGAGGAGAATCGGGGATAATCCGGGAATTCGGCGAGTACTTTCGGGAGTTGAAAGGTCCCCCAGAAACAGGAAGGTAGTAATGACCAGGAACAGACGAGCGTGCGACTGGCCGGAGAGCTTACAACCAACTGAGGACTCACGATAGAGTAGTAAAATCGCCTGTAGCTATGCAAATGGGCTGTCTGAGAATGTGCTGCCGAACGCGCATGTCCTTAAAGGACTCTTTCTCACTTTTTCCACCCCCCACCAGAAGCTCTACACTCCACTTTTTTTCCAGAGAACGCTGTGGAAGTTGATGCCTTAAAGTCTCAAAAGACCATTTTCGCCGTCTGTCGATATTCCCGGGGTGTTTCCTGTGGGAAATGGGCAGAGAACGCAGAAGAGGCCTTTTGGGCTCTCGCACCACATCACACGACTTGCAGGCACTTCCACGAGGAATTCAATTACCTCGGAAGCTTCTGTGCGACAGAGTGACTTTATTGGCGAAAAATGCCTCCACTGGTGAGAGTTTTCAAGAGAATGTGACCCAATTACTTTCCTGTCTCGTCCACAAGTCACTTCATACAGTCGTCCTTTTGTCCTCTCTCGCCTCGCAATTCCGCCAAAGGCACTCGTGGATCTGAAACACCCGCACAGGATGGAACTCAAAGCATCACAGCGTTTTTCTAAATCCACTTTATTACTCTCTTTCTCTCTCTCATTGCAATATTCCTTTTGCAAATCCTATACTCTCTAATCTAACTAATTAGTGTTGTTTTACAGTTTTGACATTAAATAAGATCGTTTTTAAGTTAAGACATTTCACACTCCTCATTTCCGCCTTCTGTGCGCTTCTGTCCACTTGATATAATCAACCCACCACCGAGATACAAAAGTACGCACAAATTATCACATTTTGACGATTTATTTTGTTAAAACTGAGGAAGTGAGAGTCAAGTCCCAAAAATCACTCGTGCCTCACACACAATAACGCCCTCTAGTGCTTCCGATCGATGATGATTTCATCCCCCGAGCGGATATTGTAGCTGTAGAGCTGCTTGTGAGGATACTTCATCTCTTCGGGGCCCTGCAAGTCCCGCAACTCCTGATCCACGTAGTACAGACGCATCTTGGCCGCCGGAATGCCAGCCAAGCGCTCCAGGCGCGTCTTGAGGTCGAACACAGTCCTGCAAAACCAAACAAATTTGTAAAATCGACACGATTTTGATGAGATATCATTAAGCACAACCTATAGACATCGACGCTCCTTATTTCGCTCGTATCGCCGTACGTGAACGTGACTTTCACTCTCTTCTCCGGTCTTAAGTCAATGTTAACAAGAGGATCCAACTTTCCGTGAACTGAGATCAATTCCGCATATCTCTCGGGACGATCGCTCTCCGGCTTGTCCATGTAGTAGCGAATGAAGGCTCTCTCGGCATCCTCACGCTCCTCAGCGCCAACCACTCCGCCTCCGTTGAGCGTCTGGACCTGCGGCAGGCGAGCGATCAGTAGCTGCCTTCGTTCATGCTCTGTCGAATCGCACTTGTCCCAGAGTGGCCAATTCTGGAAGGAAAGGAAAGGGAAAGCATTAGAATGTTGATCAAGATTTTTCCATTGAATTTCATCTACCTGAACTCGCAGATTCTTGAGCTTCGGGAACAACGCCAATCGGTCAATATCGTTCCATGTTTGGATATCCGAATTGCTCAAATTGAGAAATGTAAGACTCCTGCAACGGAAGAATAGAAATTTCACTTGAAATCAATTTAAATTCATAGATACGAAAAATCGCACTTTGTGCAAATTTAATGCAATGATTCAAATTCCAGCTACTGACTTACAATGTTGACTTTTAATGTTTTGTAGTACAGAAATACTTCACATTTAATGAATAATATTCAACCGATAAGCCAGAAAACAGTACATATTCACAGAAATAAATTAAATAGAAAAAAAAATTATGAAATATTTTGGTTTTAGGCGCACACTATACGCTTTAATGAAGATTGAACTTTCTTATTAAGGTATAATTAATCTTTAAAATACATGTATTAAAAAAAACAACAACATTTCCATTCTTATTTCTAATCATCAATGTTTTGTTCGGTTTTTCCATTCGCCATAAATCTTTCACTCACTGTTAAATCATTACATTTGCGAGAAGAGCAACTTGTGTAAATACATTGTACTTCTTCAACCTCGAAAAGTGACTGAGGAACATTAATCCAAACGCTTAAAAGTGCATAAAAAATACTCTTCTTTCCATGTACTAATACGCTCCTTTGCCCCTCTGTGACTTTATTACACCGCGAAGAAAACAGAGCAAAAAGAAGCATAAATTTTTGCGTAATTCGTCAATGAAATTATTGTGTTATTTCCCAACGGAAAATTTTCACTTTCAGTCCAAGTCTCTCGTGTGTGTGAAATTCGCAATTTGTATGGAGCAAAAGTGCTTCTGACCAACTTTTCTTCCAACATCTCTTGACGAAGAGACAAAGAAGGCACACAAAAAGACGATGGCGAAGATGAGTCAGAAATGCATCAAGAAGTCAATTAATAATGCATTGAGAACAAAGACAAGAACAAAATCCAATGCAAATTAATCAATGAAGCGAGAAAGAATTACAAACTTGCTCAACTCTTGTTCTTGAAAGCGTGGCTCGCGTGGGCAAAATTGCATGAGACCTCATTTGAATTCCATTTCAGAACCGGGGCAAAATATAATAATCACACAGAGATGATGAATTTGATTTTGATGTGGGAAAAACTGTGAAGGTTCTCACTCCGAAAAGCCCATCAAAGAAAATCTATAATTAGTTCGATGCATCGAACATCGGGAAATTGAACTTCCTCTGTGCCAAAGTGTTGAAATTAATCATTGAAGGCCTATTGATTTAAGACGATTTTCCACATCATTTCTGATATTTGCCCATTAATTCAAAATCGTGTTAAAAACATCAATCCAAATCCTTCCTCATACAACAAAACATTTTCTTTTATGGTAATTCATGAAAACCTTTTGTTATAGTGACAAAGCATATTTCCTAACATGGAAAATTCATTGACTCCATCAGCGTTAATTATGCATTTCCTATGGAACACTTTGTAAAAGACGTCTTTTTTAGGAAGTCACGAGCTCTATCGTTATGAAAAGTCATCAGCGTCATCCAGTATCGATACTTGATGAGGCTTTTTTTTGTAAATTTAAACCGGCTTCATTGAGTCATACCTTTTTTCTCGAAATTACACCACTAATATCGTTAAAGATTTAGACATAGAGAAAAAAGAATGTTCGACCAATAAAGTGAGATGGAATATCCAAGATAAGAGGGCAGTTCATTAATCTTTCTCTCTGGGAGCTCTCAAGGCTACTTGGGAAAGAGTATTGCGTGTTCACGAGGGGCTGGCAATAAATCTCAGGTCTGTCCATTTGGCGGAAACTTACTGGAAATGCGCGTGAGGCGAATCACAGTTGTTGTCATCACTCGCGGCACTGGTGGCAGTGTTGCTGCTCTCCAAGGACTTGATGGGACAGTCGGCGAGCACGAGAGACTCCAAATTGGGAAACACTCGGCCAAGGCGGCAAATCTCCAGCCACTCCGTGACTGGATTTCCCGTGAAGTGGAGCTTCCGGACGCCCTCGTGGGCGCTTGTCTTCCTGTACATGGAACACACGGAGTCAGTCCGCGATGCGCCCGCCAATGGCGGATCTGTTTTACTCTTCGCACCACACGTGCACACTTGGTTGGCCATCTCGTCCTCCTCCGTGGCCTCATCCTCGTCATCATTGAGCTGAACGCCCTCCAGAGGCCCACTGAAGTCGTCCTCGATCGTGTCAATGAGCACCTGCTTGTAGTCGTTGAGACTCAAGTGCAGCTCCTCCAGCATGGGCAGCAGGCTCAGCAGGGACTCCACATTCTCCCAGTCAAGGCGGGTGTTGTTGAGCACGAGACTCCTCAGTCGAGTCATGGAGAATTCACTGGGCGGCGCCACAGGACCCGCCAGACGATTAAGGCTCAGATTCACAAACTCCACTCGCGGCATATTGGTCAGGATACCAAACACTTCACTCCACTTTTCCAGCTTGTTCTGAGCCAAATCCAGCTCTTTCACGCTGCTGCACTTTTTACGCAAGTCCTCAGACTCACCAGCCTTGTCGATGTTGCAGTCATTGAGGACTAGAAGTTCTGGCACGCTGAAAAGAAACCAAGAGAGAATGTTAATTATGACATACCATACAAAATTACTCTAATATTCATTTCATATTAGTTACAAAAGTTCCAAAAGGCACTGAAATCGATATGGATTACAGGAAAAACCAATTTGTTTCCAAGCTGTTGTTACCAAACCACAGGCAACAGCAATAATAATGCGCTACCCAGATAATGCTATCAGAAGAAGTAATTAGATTCTCCATTATCATCAACCTACCTCATTCTTGGCGGCAGTTTTGGCACAAAAATCGACACAAGGGACTCATCTTGATGGCTCTGGATCTCCAAATTTGCCAGACCATACTTCTGCTCCAAGGCTTCCACGAGGGACGGCATATTTCTCCAAGATGAATAGAAAATTACTCCACGTCGCTTCCTAGTTTCTCCTCTTTCTCAGTTCAACTTTGGGTCACAGAGTAGCTCTGAAATTAGGAGGGAAAAGAAGGCATGTTCAAACTACACTGTGAGACTTTGCTAAAACTGACGCCAGTGGGAAACAATGAAATTAATATTAATATTTATATGTTTCCCCTTCACTTTTTTATTAAATCTTGCGATCTCTGTCTGACCACGACTTCAACTTGGTACAAAATTGTGTAATTACACTTCAATTGAGCTTTTTTTTTTGATGACAAAGGCTTATTTTACAAGCTCTTTTATTGTCAATTATTGGCTATTTTTCCCTCAACAGCTGTGTTTTTTCTCTGTATCATATATATAAAACAGTCGATCCGCTTCGATAAACAAGAGTGCGCCGACGATCAGAATGACTCATATGTGTGTTGTTGAAGAGTCCAAAATCATATCAATGAGTGATTGATTTTGGCGCGACAGATTTTCAAACAAACTGCAAGTGTCTCGCAGTGCCATATTTGCCACCATCGCGGATTTGCCGATTTGCCTCAGTCTCTTTTTGGATTTTTACTGAGCATTTTCGCCTTTTATTGAAATTTCTGTGTTGCAAAATTACAATATTGCCAACTGTATATAGAAACAACAATGTAAATTGTGCGTTTTCCATGGCTCTTTGCCAATAAAACCACTCACCACACTAGAGAGAGAACATGAAATTTTGCTTCTTCCAAGGCATGAGCTTAGAAAGACTGTGGCGGAGATAAAATTGGCGCTTTAGAAGGTGGATTTATGTAACATATGGGTTTTTCCCTTTCTTCACTCTAAAAATCGTGTGTCTGTTATTCAATATGTCGCAGAAAATGATTGAATTTAAGGCCTCAATCATCGACCAATTTCTCTCCACTGAAAGCGCGCCCTTTTCCACCATCCAAGCGTGACATTTTCACTTTGGGGAAAAAGGCACAGTGCGTGTGGACTTATTGATTTTGGACACTCATTGACAAATAGGGATTCGATGCAGATTTCACTTTTCATTGTTAAACGGACTGTTCAATTAATTATTATTTAATGTGTAGCAAATTGTGGGTCAATAGAGCGAGCATATTGCCTGATGGTGGAGAATATCAAATTAGCCGCAAATTATGCAATTTGCGTGAGTGTGAAGCGCGCGCCAACATTGTCCTTCACATTCGATGAGAGCGCGCACTTTTTCTCCACACACTTTGCAGGCATTCTTTTTCGCATTTCAAATGTGAAATAGTAAATAAATTATTTGACTTTTTACGACGTTTCTCCATTTGTGTTCTATCGCGATGCTTATCTCACGTTATGGCGCGCCTGATGCGACTGCCAGAGTGTCACCCACCAGCTGATCAGTTTCTTTGTTGGGGGAAGCGCAAGCTGGATGTGTCTGTTTTTCATCACTCTGTCCAGAAATGAGGCGCAATTTTAGAGTTACGTCTTTTTGTATCCCCTCGAAACGCCCAGAGAAAAACAACACCCACGAAAGTCTCGCAGGAAGAACACAAAATCGATTCTAAAGTCGCTCTCTTGCCTCAGCGCCAAAGACAAGACAGAACGTTTGCACGACTTGAGGTGAAAGACCCCTAAATCTAAGACACATTCTCACGATTTCCACCCCTTTTCACCCCAACTCTGGCCCGTGAAGGTATTGTTGCACGCCTCCAGACCACCTATTACCTGATTTCTCTCTCACACAAGAACCATCCAGTGTCAGATAGGCAGCAAGATTGTCTTTTATGTGTGTTTCTCACTGGCGCGACTCCTAAGCACAATCCACACATTGAAGTTTTCTCCTCAATCGCACAAATTTCACATTAGGAATCACTCAGCAATTCCATTCAAAACTGCATCCAATTCTACGGCAGCTGATGCACCAGAGAACAATCACTGCTCATTGTTTTCCCTACTTCACAAATCCATCAAATAATCCCAGAATAGGTGCAACAATTGAAGGGTTTTGCACTCGCGATGGATCATACACTGCGAAGAAAGCGTACAAATTAGAAACTCCCCCCTAACAAATCACCCTGTTTCCGTTCGGTTGTCTGCTCGGGAAATTCCCACGCAAAAAGAGGGCACAAAGTGGTTGGCAGGAAGTGAGGAGAAAAAGAAACAAATGGAAACTGAACTCGCTTGCAGTGCAAGTTTCACCTCTGAGAGTCACCGAGAGACTAAAGTTGGAGGTGAAAAGTGCCAATTACGTGTCTCCCCACTCCAATCCTTGCTGCGCGATGCCTCGAAAGGGGAGCGTGCGCGTGTGTGTGAGGCGAAATGGTGCCCATGGAATTTTCAATAAAACAGCACCAAAGTTGCAACCAAGATGATTGATAGTTGCGCGGGATTCTCAGAATGACCATCAGCGTAGAAAAGCACATCCAACTTGGAACCTTGGAGGAAATCTGCTGGGTTATCATGATTGTCATGCATGTTGATGAACGCTGGAAAATCACTATAATTTAGCATACAAATGACTTTATTCAAAATGCCTCAATTTGTCTGTTAATCTTGGCTGAAATACTCTGAAAACTCTGAACTCTTTTGTGCACAATTACAATATCTGTGAATGCTACAAGCAGACATGGAAATTCACATTATTCAACTATAGCCACTAAAAGGTACAATCCAGTGAGTTAAGCCTTCTTCGCGACATTAAATATTTTCTAGGTAACATCGGACATAAAGAAGTGGACAATGAAGTCTTCTGCGAGGATTCTTTTTGCCTCAATTTCCGCATTTGCGCCTCAGTTTTATCCATGATTGCTTCTTCAATAAAATTCCATGGTAAGAGAATCATATTTGACACACTCACGCCGCACTTGAAGGGTTTAGAGTGTGTGTAACAAAGAGATTTTCGCGTGTATGGAAAATATGACGACGCCCGTGCGCCAGAGTGAGACGCTAACGTGAGTGCGAGTGAGAGGGAAATAAAACAAACACACACTATTTATTTTGACGAGCAGATTTTGTGGTGTTTTTTAGCGCTCTTCGTGCGAGGTGACGATGAAAACCTCGTAATTGCTATTCACAGCCTACTAAACAGCTGAATTCCATGTGGTTGTTTTTCTTTCTAAACTACACGATTTTCAGAATCATATGTTTCCCCCACTCGCGCCATTTCTCACTCACACACATTCGTGACAAGTTTCGCAAGCTGGAATAGTGTGACGAGAGGCGTCTTTTTATCAAAATCGCTGCTTTCAGTCAGCAAATTATGAAAATGTCTTCAAGATTTCCGTGATCTTGTCGAGTTGAAGATCATTGGATGTGATTTATTGACAAAGGAGGGCAAACATCTTGGAAAAAAGCCGCAATGGCAGCGAGAGAAGTACGCCATGCGACACTCCCGCAAAAGGGAAAATCTTGAGAAATACCACAAACGCCACTCTAATCGCTGCTTTAATCTGTTTAGGTATTATTTAATCCCTCAGCAGAGAAATATCGTAACAAATTCGATGGAAATGATGTGAGAAGGAGCACCAGAGAAATATTTATCTGTGTTTCATGTCGTTTTTCAGCATACCATTTCCTTCTCAGCACCATGGAACTCACGAAGCGACCAATTAATTCCTCTACAATGTAGCTTCAATTTGCCACAGCTCAAGTATTGCGCAACAGCTAAATATTTTCATCTTTTCGTTATAATTTGGCAGTTAATTCAATCACTGCCGAGGATCACTAGGAATCCCCCGAAAGCCGATTCAGGAGCGCGGTTTCTCCTAAATCTGCTAATTGCATGAATTTTCCCTCCCTTTTTATCCTTCCGCACTTTTTGGGCCCCGTTTTCAGTGCCAAAAGTGTGGGAAAGCACTTGAGAAATGTTCTAATTCCGACCTACATTTATCCAATGTGCTTTGGTCACTCACAACAAATGGGATATTTAGATCTAGTGGAACTATTTTTAGAGGTTCACGCTAGTGACCCACTTGGAAGCCCTTGTCGATGCCTTTCGCAACGCTCCCAGACAATCAGATCGCGAGAAATAGTGACTCTGATAGAGAACTCGCCATTCTGAAGAGCTTTTCTCGCCTTCACTCTCCCTTTGTATGCAGGAAAATGGGTTACACTGCATCTGAAAGAGTTCTTTGTTATTGGCAATGTAGAAGTGAGTTCCGTGAGGCAAGTTTCCTCCTTTAATCGCGCGTCCCCAGACTCCAGTGAATTTCGCTGCCCAAATAGGGAAACTTGACTTTCTCGGCGTTTTGAGTGGTGGCTAACCTTGTAGTGATCATTTTCGTGCATAGCATTTCACATACAATAGAGGCACGCAAAATAAGAGTATTTTGAGAAACGCGAACCAGTAATAAAACCACTCAAGAGTGAGATTGTGACGATATTTGGGGATTTGTCTGCATGACTCACCATTGAAATCTCCACCACACTCTTAATGTTTGCACTTGTCTGTTGCACGATGAGAAAGAATGATACTTTTCGCTGATAAAAAGGGGATTTCACTCGCTGAGAATTTGGTAAAAAATGTGCGGAAAAGAGTTAACTGAAAATTTTGATCAACTCCACCACTCGCCGGAAGGTAGACTATACGGGCGACTGTATAGTTGACAGCGGAAAATGGCGCCAACTGTTGCTCTAATTCACAGCGAGAAGTTGCTCGAGGAATGCGACAAAATTCCCAATCTCCTTGGCCGGGTGAGTAAGGAATTTCCTTCCGAGTCTCTTAATTACTTCATTCCTAATAAGATTTTTCTGCAGGCATCAATGATTTATGGGCTCATCGAGGCATACGGATTGCTGCACAAGGTGACTGTTGTGAGACCACGGAGAGCGTCTCACGAGGAGCTCCTTCTCTGTCACTCCGGGAATTATCTTAAGCACCTGGAGCACTGTGATGGAGACGAGGAAGAGACTGAGGAAGATGAAGATTTTGGTCTTAGCTATGATTGCCCGAAATTCTCAGGAGTTTACAAATTCGCTGAGGTGATTGCCGGAGGGACTATTTCTGCTGCCGAATCTCTGATCTCCGGTTCCAGATTCGCGATAAATTGGTCAGGAGGCTGGCATCATGCCCAGAGTGACCGGGCGGATGGATTTTGCTACGTGAACGATATTGTGGTGGGCATTCAAAGACTGGTGTCACACTTTCCCCGGATTCTGTATCTTGATCTGGATGTTCATCACGGAGACGGAGTGGAAAATGCCTTTTCATGCACGAAACGTGTCTTTTGCCTCTCATTTCACCTCCACGAGGTGGGATTTTTCCCAGGAAGCGGAGGAGTGAATGAGTGTGGCTTTGGACCGGGGAAAGGTTACTCCGCTAACTTCCCATACAAAAGAAATATCTCCGGAAAACGCTTCAGGGAATCATTTTTTAGGTAAGAAATTTGAGAATTCAAGAATGAAATTTCTCTAATTGAATTAATTGTTCTCAGAACTACCAAATTGATAAAGGAACAGTTCGATCCCAGCGCTTGTGTTGTCCAGTGTGGTGCTGATATCTTAACCGGAGACCCTTTGGGAGGCGCCAATCTGACACCGAGAGACATGATTGAGTGTCTGAACGAGGTAAAATCTTGGAATATTCCCTGCTTATTTGTCGGCGGGGGCGGTTATAATCTGCCCAATGCTGCTCGTCACTTTGCTCTCCTTACCGCAACTATCTGTGATGCTGGTGAGTTAAATGACGACATTCCCGAGCATGATTACTTCAATTCCTACGGCCCAGGATTTGAACTCTCAATTGAGCCTAAGAATCTCCCGGATAGCAACACCGATGCTGAGCTAGAAACAATTTATAGAGCAATTGAGAAAAATCTGCTGGCATATGGTGTGAACGCAGATAAGAAAGATTAATATTGTAGATAAGATCAGTCAATTTACTCTACTTCGGATCACAATTCGTCCTTTTCACCAGTGTCGCCCTTCTGCTGACGGACCTCATAGAGGCATTTGTGATTCTGTCCCACCAGGGCTCGCTCCTCACAGAGATACTGCATCAATGGCACATTGTCCTGATGCTTGAAGTACCAGGACTCGATTACGCCCTCGTACTCCTCAAGAAGACTCTCGCACTGTGTCTTGAGATTGGTTATCTCTGCCGATGGCTTGTCCCACAGCTCGAGGGGAATGCCCAAGTCCACCTTCACGCCTTTGTCTACAAGTCCATGGAGTGTCTTGAAGGTCTGCGACATTCCCTTGGCAAATCTCGTGCTGTCCTCTCGCTCTTTGTGAATGTTGTACTCCAAGATTCTCTCGCAGACATTCTCCAGAGATTCCAGAAGGCGCAGTTCGCTTCTCCTGTACGACGTTCTCTTCTTTGGCTTTACGTCATCCACGGAGTATCTAGAGAGGATACATGAGTGACGTGGTTGCACTGATAAGTTGCCCAGACACTCCCGGACTCACCCAATCTCTATGACGTCATGAGATTTTCCTGTTTCCGTCAGACGTCCCTGCAGTTCTGTGGCTAAAATCTTGCAAGCTTCACATTTGTCCGCGTACTTAACGCCTTCCTTCTCCTCTGGACCCGCCTGGGTGAGTTCCAGCAGGAGAAAAACGAGAAAACAGCACCGGAAAAACATCCTCATTGTGTGAGGTTATGTGAAAATATTGTCTACACTGACAACTCACACTATTCACCGCTGATGGCGCTGATGTTAGGAGGAAGATTGGATTATTTTCCATCAATTCTGCAAGCCTACGATGAGGGAGAAAAGTTAAAATCGTGATTTATTTTTAATTTGGACTTTTTTTTATTTTCTTTAATTGTATTTTCATCTTTTCTTGCCGAAAATTTACAGACATATTTAATATAGTGTTGAGTTTCTTATAGCCATCCTCGTGAAAGTTTATTCTTCTTGACACTTTCAATACATTTCATAAAATTATAACTCAGTAGTTTTTCTAGCTCCGCGAATGTTTCTTCTTTCATCCTCTTTCAGAGCATGTAAATTCAATTGAAAATTGACAATATATCTTTAGGTGTGACTCCTTAAAACTCTGCTCTTACCATTTAGACTATTTAATTACATTGTAATTATTTTGTGTGACTTAACATCTAAACTACTTATTACAATCATTTAAAGTACATTTACAGTGAAATTAAACCTGAAATATCTTCGTTTATGCTCTTATAATTCTCTAATTGTATATATGTATGTATATATAGGTTTTTCCTTCTTTGAATACATTAGGATTTTCTGTTGCTTCACCTTACAATTATGCACTTTGAGAATGAATTACACAAGTTCTTATGAATTATTGCACATATCATACATCATTATTTACATTTATTGTGGAATAGATTTCCGCTTCTCTACTTTTCCTTCCTTTTTTTTCAAGAATTATATTCTTTTCACCTACGATTTTACAGTAAAACTATATTAAGATAAAGTGGCAGAGTGGCAAATGAAGGGTTTGTCATAGGAATTCTTTGAAAGTTAAAAACTTGTGATGTCTGCTTCTACTATTCTGAGAATATTGTCAATGGCTCAGGATCTTTTCGTTTGCAATTCTTTGAGTTTTTCATCATTTCATTCCTTGTGAGATTTCTCAACATCTTCTTTGTACGATATTCGATGCTTTTACGTAGGTTTTCTTGACTTTTCCGATAAATCTCTCTTGCCGGATTCTTAAAATTTTTCTCTTATACATCGTTGTTCTGTTGCTTTTCTCGTTTGAGTTGATTTCCTTGGGTTGGTCACTGGGAGAGGGTGCAAATGAAAGTGGAGGGAAAGCGGGAAGTCTCGGGATGATTCGTGGTTAGCAAATTCGCTGATGGTTGTGAGTGAGATCACAGGAAGGCGTCCCGTCGGCAGCAACGTCGGAATCCTAGTGTCAGAAGGTCATGTTGGGACTGGCTGCAGTTGGGGGCTCGTTGGCCGGCCGCAGGGGTGACACGGCCGGCGGGTGGTACTTTCGCTCAACCAAGAGGCCCTCTGGGGGCGAATGGTGACCAAGGTTGTTTGCATTGCTGTCGCAGGATTGAGGGGAACTGCTTGTGGGACTCTGCAGACCAGCCAGAGAACGCACTTGCAGGAGGAGGCCACTGTTGAGGAGTCTTGCTTGATGCTCCTGTGCTTTCGCCCGCAGACATGCTATTGAGTTGTTTCTGTCCAATGATAGAGATGCTGGTTAGTTGACTTCTTTAACAAAATGACCAATGTTAGTCTTGTTAAATTGATGGGAGAGTGTCTTTAGATTTTCATCGCAGTTGGCTTCAATTTAACCCTTTCACAACGACTGGACTGGAAAATATCCTCTGGAAAAAGTAGGAATTTCGAGACACATGCATGGAAAGTAATGAATTTAACTGAGTAGAATTTAGTGAAACTAACTAAAAGCAATAGAGTATCGTGATGAAAGGGCCAAGCGATGCTGCAAATCTATCCACACCGTCCCTTAGTACAACTTCAAAGTGTTTTGAATCACCGTATCATTGAAATGGGGTCTCTGAAGTCAACCCACCTGAAGGCTTCAGGGTCTGTGTCGGGTGGATGGTATCCGGGCAAGGCCAGAGCTTTCCTGTCCAGCGCGGCGAGATGAGGATGAGTCGTGGCGATGCTTGTGGTTCCTGGCGGAAGGGCCGGCGGAGTGAGTTGTGGGGCCTCGGGAGGGCCTTGAGCACTGCCTCCATTTCCCGAAGTCTCGCCGCTCCCATTGCTAGGCTGGGGCGTGTGCGGCTGACTAACTTGAATATGAGACTTTCCGTCTCCGGCCGCTGGCGTTCCCACTGTGGGCGCTGAAGAGGTTGGCGGCAGAGGGACTTTGTTGCTGGACGTGGTTCCGCTGGCATCACTAGCCTTGGAGGCTGCGTCCTCGCGATCACTGGCGCCGCTCTCGTCATTTTTCAGTGCCTCGGCTGCCTCCAGGGATTTTCGGTGCATGCCTGCAAGATTATAATAATCATCACCATCATCGACTGGTCATTCGTCACGCGGAGGGTGAATATCCCACTGACCGTGCCAGGGTGTGAGATGCCAACTAATAAACGCCTCGCTCGCAACCCTTGGTCAGGGTGAGCGAGGTGAGATATTGCCCAGTGGCAATAAATAAGTCAATAACATTTCAAATAGGCATTGTGTTGAGTTGGCTGAAAATTAAACCAATAATTTCCCCAACTCATCGTGTCAACCCTCAATTGATGGGCAATTCCACCCTCAACGTGACTATGTAATTCACTGTGAACTTTTAACACTATTCAGTGCGCTATTTTATGATTTTGAGAGTACTTTGAACTCCTCAATTGAACGATTTATTTCTGATTTATCAGTTATATTACTTTGCGTAAAATTGCCTCGTAGGAAGCATTAGTATATCCTGACAGTCTTGTTGCAGAAATGTAGAAGAAACAAAAAGAGGAAATACAGAAGGAAGGAAGTCAGAAAGTGTTCAAATGCATACTCATATTTCATAAAAATTTCTTGTTTGTAACATATTTTTCAACAAGAATAGTCTCTAGTTTTGTGTCACAAAAATATGAGTGCATTTGATATTACAAACTATTGTTTCCATTCAAATGAGGCGACATTTAGATGTAATTTGTTAAAAAAGTGCTGAAACAAATCAATTCGAAAAATAAAATAAACAGAAATGAAAAAAACATTGAGAACGTTACATAATCAATTAAGCTGTATAAGGCATTGTTTGTTGGTGATAAGATCGTGCGATTTGAGGCGTCCAAAAGGCAATTTTACTCTCTTCGTCAAAATATGAGACTTTGTGTTAATCGTGATAAAGTGATAAAAGTAAGAGAAAAGATAATCAGAGTAAAAAGTTCATTTACATTTTTCCTCCATACCTAGAAGCCATGGTGCGACACATTCATTTTCTTTGGCCGATTTGAGAATTGTCTCCGGCAGAGGCAATGAATGTCTTACCATTGCACCATAAAGTCCGTATTCGGCCATAATTGTGCTGCGTCCCCAACATTTCTCCGTCTTGCGCCACTTGGCCCGGCGATTCTGGAACCAAACCTGCAAGGAAAGGCCATATTGGGGATTAATTGAATAATTTTGCACTGAAAGTGAGGGGAGCGGCGAATGGGAAAAAAGGGGATTATAATTGAGCATAGGAATGGGGATGGAAAAGGAATCTCCATTTTATTTTATATCCTGCGAAAGTGTCTATTAAATTTAACCCCTCGGGGCTTGGAAAATTAATAAGCAGGTCATTTTCTTCAATTCCTAATCGTATTAACATTCCATTCTTCTCACTCACTTGTTCATCCTCGTGCCATTGTTCACGAGCACTTGCGAGTATGTCAGCTCCCTATAAGCCGAAGGGAATTTTTGAGGGATGAAAGTCACCGATTAAGTTGAAATTCACTTAATTGCTAATATTTCTGCTTGTGGAGATGAATGTTATTGACAATCATGCGGCTTTATTAGATGATTCAGTGGATTCGTGCTTCATAAGCCAGGCGTTGAGGTAGTTTCGTCGCTCTGCTTGGTAGAATTTCTATGCAAATCTTTATTAGATATATCTTATATTTCTTGGTGTGCGGGCAGGAAATGTGAAATAGCGCCTTTCACATCCGCAATTAGATGTTATAGACCAAATTCAAAGGCCGTGAATTTGTTAATTGCAATTGCCCGACTTTTCATATATTTTAATTGACGTCTCAAAATCCCGTTTTGTACGCGTCTCACTTGGGAAAGAAGCCAAAGAGAACTGACGCTTTCCGCGGGTGAGAAAATGACGGGGGAGAAAATTAGAAATCTCACATCAGAAGAAATTGTCAGGAAATTAACATAAATGTGATTACGTGTGCTGAGAGTGCAAGAAAAAAATTGGACGGTGTTAAACTCACGGATAATCCCATTGAAATGCAAATCTCTCTTTCTTTGATTCAAATTCCTTTGTCTCGACTTCTCCTAATGATTTTCTCACTCATCATCTCTACTTAATAGAATCTTCACTGTCTCGTCTTCCGGACGACAACTCGTGATTCGGGAAGTAGGGTGAGAGTTTGAAGATGTTGGCGGGGAATTGAGATGATTAATTCAGTGAAAAGTTTCCTAATTGGAATATTGAAGATGCTCCTTGTCTCAAGTTTTGCGCCATGTGGGTGTTTCTCTGCCATCTCTCAATTCTCCTCGCGAAGAAATTGACTTTTTTCCCCGTTTCTTGGTCCGAAAGTCAAATAAGTTCTGCAAATTGTGAAACACTGCGCCTTCTGGTGAAGCATATATTGGATACATTATGGATATTTGTGTATCAGGGTTTGTGTGAGTGTGGCAGAACTGGGATTAAATAGCATCAAATTGTGAACAAACAATCAATTAAGGCTAAACATTACCAACAATCATCTTCATCCCCCTATTGCATTGTGGTGAAATCTCGTGGGATGTGAAATTCACAAAAATTGATTCTCTCCATGTATTTGCTCATCACACCACGACAAAGTGCGTGCAAATAGAGTGAAATCCCATCGGCGGGATGAAACTTGATCATCTGTCACTATCTGACTGTAGGGAATACGTTATTGGTGAAAATTAACTGCCTGATGGTGTCCCTCGCGCGAGAATCGGGAGCCAGGACGACTTTACCACGTGGCACAACGTCTGGTTAATTATCCTCTGCGAGTGCTGTACGGATAATCGCACAATTTCACTCAACAGGAAGAGTTCTTCGTGGTTCTTTTTCATGGCGGAATTTATAACATAATCTTAATGGTAATTTTGAACTAAGGATGCGTGTGAATTGCAAAAATTTCACCCTATTGAGCAATTCCCCTCCCTTGCTTCACTAATTCAATTTCATTTAGTGAAGCATCATCTCCCTTTTTTACTCTCCCTCGCTGTATCTTCTTTCCATCGCCATACATTTGATGGCACCGAAAAATGGTTAATTGATGGTTTTCTTTTGCACCCCTCCTCAAATGGTGCGTGCAAAATGTTCATAGAATGTATAAATAAAAGTGCGATTTATAATTTCGCAAGATTACCCTGCAAAATCTCCTAAAAAGACTGCTGAACCCAGGGATTTTTTCTTGTCCTGTACACGACATAAGGAGCATACCTCAATTGTTACCACTCGAGTTATCTCAATCGCTTGTTCACTTAGTGTAATTGGATAGAAGGATGTTGCAGGGATTTTGAGATCCCCAACGACACCCTGAAGGAAACCGCATGTTTTTTTTTCCTTGAGGTAAACCCAGCATTTGCACATTCTTTCCCTCAAAGGCAAAAAAATGTGTGGCACTTTTTCACTATTTCCTTCACAAAAGAAGGAAAAAACCCACCCTCGAAGTCCTTGCATGAGCTGAAAGAGTCAAATCTGTGAGGAAGGATGTCAAGTATTCCAGGTAACTGAATCCACCCAATTTTCGGGTATTTTCTGGAGTTCTTTTTTTCATCTTTGGTCTCCTCTCTGATCCTCTTTTACCCACTCACCAACATAATGTGGTCTCAGAAAATACAGACCGAAGTAGAGAGGAAAAGTGGGAAAAGTTAGGTGAACGAGAGTTCCATGCACGTGAGTAAGATGGTATTTTGCATAATGCGCTGCCCGTGAAAAAGAGGGATCCAAAATTGTTTGTCAATAAATGCGTCAACAGGCTTTTGGTGAAGGGATAATTTGACTTTAAGTACAAATTGCGAGGATTTCCAACCCCTCTGGAATTCCTTTATGGGATTTCCTCCGGGATGGATCAACCCTTTGACTGCCACTTTAAATTCCTCTCTGTGTCTGTCTGGTTTATTTTAATAAAATCAAATAATGAAGATTTATGGACTTCATTTGATATTGAATTAATTAAAATCGACGACCTTTTGGGAAAATTTCAATTTATGTACTCTTTTCAATGCTGAAATTAAGAGGGTTTTTTTTTTGTTTCTTGATATAATGGATTATTTTGTGAAAAGGTATTTTCGAAATTGATTCATTTGCAAGAGGATGAATTGATTTTGTATCTGGTTAAGAAGGAATCCATTTTACACGACGATAGAGTTAATTTATTGGAAGAAAAATCGCTCAACCCGGACGACTGGATGTGGTTAGTGCTGAACTCGAGCTGCAACTTTAATGATTAAACAAGAATCCTTCATGGACAGACAATAAATCGTGAGAGGCGTGAACGGCACGTGGCACGGAGGGAAGTAATTTGTTATTTATTCTATTACACTGTTGTTAATATTTGTCTATTGAGTGCGAGTTCAAGAGTTTTCTGGTGGGTCTGCGTTTCCGATTTGTGCTTTTTATCGGTAATTTTGTCTCCCTAACACTTGAAGTCGACGCGAGGAGTTTGAGGGAGTTGAGGATTTACAGTTGCCAACATGAAATCGTGATCCCAATTTCGTATTTTTCCAGTTGAGATTTTTTAATGCCATAGTGTGGGTTAATGAAACACGCGGCGCCAAGAGTTTTCCCTCGGGTGGGTTTGGCTTTGTAGAACGTCACGGATATTTTATTAGTGTGCAAAAAGGAGGAAAATGGGGGAATTTTCTGGACCACCCGCTGCTCAACCAAACGACCATTTGGGTGTCTTTATGGTTCTGTGGACGTCGTTTCATGTTTTTTCTCACCCTTCCAGTCTTCTCGTCGACATTGCGCGATGGAGGGTTAAAATAACAAATAATTAATTTTCACAGAGAGATATGTTCTGTAATTAGGAATGAGTGGAGAGAAGTGGTTTGGCGATGTAAAATGAATGGATTTGCTTTCTGATTTATCTCCCAGTAATTTGGTAATTGTGTTATTTTTTTGCCTCGGGACTTGGTATTCTCCTCTAGATCTCTCGTCTCCTTGATTGTTGCATCTTCAGTTGAAGAAAAGAAAGGGTCGTTAGAGGAATGGAACGTCTGCGAGGATTTGAAAAGTGCCCTGAGAAATGAAATCGCCAATTCAATTTACGATATTATCTCTTAGTTTGAACGACGGTCACTTTACAAGATTACTCTTTTGAGCCCCACCTCGAACCGCCCATTCTCAGATGGCGAACTACCGACTGAATGGTGGCTGGTTTCAGTTTTCTTATTAGATTAATGTATCTTCCATTTTCCACTGTCTCTCTTCACTCACATGGAAATTTCTTGAATGTTGCAAATTGGATTACTTTTGCTGATCTCAATTCTTCCATCCCTACACAATTCATTTTTCGCACAAAAGATTATGGCGAAGACTGGTTGGATGGAAATTCTTGTGTGAAAATACTGCGCGAGATATTTTGTATCGAATTGCTGAGCGGATGCAAGTTAAGGGGTTTGATATTACCCACAAAATAATTGGCCACCGGCTTCGACACGTGCCACTTCATTATATTCATGGAGTGCCGATAATCTTCCTCAATCCTAATTTACCATTTATCCCCTTTTTACATGCCCATCGACACAACAATATTCTCAGCGTTTTCCCTTTTTTGCCCCGCTCCGAGACATGAATCTCTTGTCCGGGTATTTACTCATAATCTTGCCACTCTTGACAAATTTGTTCTCGTGGAGGAAAAAAAGTTTTTCAAATACACACAAAAACTAACCGTACAGGTTAGTTTTTTTTCCCTTAAAAATTCATATCTGCATATTTCGTCACGGGTTAAGAATTTGTATTGGAATTACATCAGATTCAGTAGCGGAAAAAAGGCTTGTGATCGAGAAACACGACTTTTTCACATTATGATGAACTGGAGCAAGTTTGAAAGTATGTTTAAGAAAATGCCATAATAAGACTTCTTATCCATTCATCAAATTCTCGTTGAAATTTTTGAATATTTTTCTCCGCTCGAGAGAAAAACATCTCTGACTTGGCACGAAGAGAGAATCTCCGCGAAAGTACTTATTAGTGTCATGTAAATTCGAGAGAATAATCAAATCAATTCCAATACATTACCCACAAGAGTTTTCACTCCACCCACTTTCCGCTGGGATCCACGAGGAAAATCCAGAGCGTCTTCGCTCGTGAGTTTGCGTGTGTGAACAAACAAAAATGAGATTTGCATAATTGGTGAAATGTATTTTCTCCCTTCGTCCACGACAAG